TATTAGTGGATTTATAATATTTACACAGATGTTCTTAGCCCTCTATAAAAAAAATTTAGATTTTTAGATTTCTACATTATATAAATAATTATTTAAATATAATAGCTTCTAAAGCTAATTTATTACTTTTTACACTAAAATTATACTTCTCTTGTATAGAGAAGTTATTAAACTAAGCGCAAAAGAAGACTTCTGCTCTATAAGAACATACTTAGTTACTATATAAAAAAAAGATACACATTATAAAAAAATAAAGCTTATATACTATAAATATTATATAAAAACAGTATATTTCTTAAAGTCTACTATAAACTTTTAAAATTACTTAAAGACTAAACATAATATCTGCTTTAAAAAAAATAAACTTGTTTATATAAAAACTTATAATTAACTTTAATATCTCTACGCACAGCTTTACAACATAGAGTAGTTAAATAATATTAATACACTAGCTCTTTAGAATGTACTAAATTAGCATGTTATTTTTACAACGCTTATTTTAGTAGTAACTATAAGAAGGCTCTTATTTTAAATAGTTAAATAGCTAGAGTTTTACATATTCTATAAGGCTCTAAATTTAAAGGTTAAAAGTTATATTATAACTACTTACTTTACAGTAAATAAAATAATCTAAAGTACATTCTTATCTTACACGAATATTATATAAAAAAAGCTTTAATTAGTAATATCTAAGGTACACATTTTTATAGATATCTAGACATCTCTAAATAAGCATCTTCTACTTAGTGTCTACGCACACTTTGTACATTAAAATAAAAGATTATAAAAAAAGCTTTTTACACTTTATATAACTTTATTATATAGTAAAGAGAATTAGTTCTAAACACTACTTCTAATACTTTAAGACTATAGTATTGTGTAAAGACTTAGTGCTATTATTACTAATAATGCATCTATAAACAACATCTTATGTTATACAATCTAAAAATATCTTTAAGAAGACTATAATATAGAGTAGAAAGCGCTACACTAGTGTATCTAATATAATAGCTATATTCTTTATCTTACTATTAAGGCCTTCTTCTTCTAGAACCTAATTCTAAAAGATAAGCTTATATTATATAACATTAAAGATAAAAATAGACTTAAAGTAAACTTAAAGTTAAAAAATAACTAGTTTTAAGCTTTTAGTGCGCTTAGTAAACTTTATAACATTGTTATATACACCTAAAGCTTACTAGGTTGTATAAAAGACTTTATTACTCTTACTAATAAAAAAGTTCTACTTAATAATTATATAAAATAAAATAGCTAGCATTAAATAATTAAAGTTACTTTAGAATATAAATTAGTAATTAATCTTTATATAAAGAAATATGTAAAAACTTTAGGCTAAACTTTTCTTACTTTATAAAATTAAACTATGCTTTATATAAGGTAACGTACCTAACGGGTTGGCCGGCCACACGGGTTGGCCGGCCACTTTTGCCAAGCCCCTACTAAAACCACCCTATTCTCTCGCAAAACAGCCCACTTTAGCCCTATATAAAGTAATACAACATAAGATATTATTTAGAGTCTACTTCTACTACTTACTTACACGTACGCAAGTTATGCCTAGTTTAATTACACTACTTATATTACCTTTAACTTAGCTTACCTTCTTTAGCGCGCACCTGCGTCTTTAGCTTCTTCCTATTACTACACGCTCTAAACTTCTTTAAAGTAGTTAGACAAGCTCTATTCTTAACTATTAAGGTTTTTTTTACTTAAATTTACTTTTTTTTATGTAATCTATGTTGTGTAGCAGCCTTATTTGCTGCTTAAAGCTTTATAATCTTATAGCCTACTCTATTACATTAATACTTTAAATAACTGTTATCTACTTTTTATTACTTTGCTGTATTACTTTTAGCTGTCTTTGTCTCTTTAAAGCTATAATAACTGCTTTAGTTAATATCTAGCCTATTATAAAGCCTAACTTATTAAAGTTATACTTGTCTTTATTTTAGATACTGTACTTAGCTTTTATGTTAGCTACTAGGCAAAACTAGCCCTAGATAACCTCTAGATTTTTATAAAGCACTCTCTTATAATTATACTTATAATTAAACTTTATTATAAACTTAAAGCAGTGCTTAACCTACATACTAGTCTAGTTTAAGCTAACCTAGCCTAAATTACGCTTTACAGGCAAGGAATTAGCTATATTAGCTACAGCTGTAAGCCTAAAGGGAAATCTACGTGTAATAAGCTTAAGTATGTACTTAATAACTACCTTTTTTTTAAGCTTAGTTAAATTCCTTAATTTAGGCTAGCATTCTACTTATAAAGGCTGTCTAGCGCGTTAATTGCTTAGTGTTGTGTAAGAGACATTATAGATAGCTACAGCGCGTTGTAAGGAGAGTTTTAAGTCTTATTTAAGAGCCTAAAGAGCAAGCTGTATCTAATGTTTTTTAGAAGATTTAATCTAGTGTTGTTGTTAAGGCATTATGTAGATAGGTAGAGTTTAGTAGGGGCTTAGCAAAAGTGGCTGGCCAACCTGTGTGGCCGGCCAACCTGTTAGGTACGTTACAACTTTTTTTATTTTTTTAAGAGAGTTACATTAGCAACTTAAGAACATAACATAATTAGCAGAGCTTGCTCTGCTTATTATATTCGGGTTTGCAGAACAAAAAGTTGAGCAGAATCTCCTCTTTTAGACGCGCTAGTTAGTTAGAATTTCTTTGGATAAACCCTGGTAACGCTGTTTCTCTGTCACCTTATGTGTTTCTTAAATTCTTTTTTGAAAAAAATGTATACCTAATGTAAGTGCACCTTTATGCTAATTTGCATGCAGTTTGCTCTAGCATGCGTTGTGTAAAACATGTTTAAATTATGGTTAACATAGAACACAAGCGAGTTAGTAACATAAGCAAGTTAGTAGCCTTACTAACTTTCTTTACCTTTAAAACAACACAACTTAACAACGCATTAAAATACTATAAAAATGTAAGTATCTAAGATAAAGTAGCGTTTATAGTATTTTTTTTACATGTGTAAGAATTATAACTAGGCTCCCTGCAGCAACTACAGCGCGTAAGAGCCTGTTAACTTTGCTCTAATGCTAATGCATCCTGCTGCTTACTCTGCTCTGCTAGCTGCTATATGTCTTTTTAAGTAACTATATCTACACCTTCTTTAATTATTATATCTTCATGCCTTTAAATCTGCCTTTTTTTACACGCCTTTTACTTTGTTACAGCCTTATTAGCTTTTTAAAAGGCAGAGACCTAATTACATAGTAGTAAAGCTAAATACATTACTATTTTAGCACTTTTAGTAAGATAATTTAGTAACTAAAGCATTTATATAAAAAATAAGTTTTAATGCTATTAAATTTTTATATAAAGTAAAGTTAACTGCGCCTTAAGTTTATATATGTTACTTAGTGTTTACAACACCTAGAGAGCCTCTAGTTAAGGTAGTAGTAGTAGTAAAGGCGTACAAATAACTACATTAAGCTTTAATAGTACTACTTTTAGTGTAAGTAAAACTAGCTCTACACCTTTAAAACTTATGTAAATATTTTTTAGTGTAAAAGCCTTCTTAAAAGCTGCTTTAAAAGAAGGCAGAAATTTAAGCTTAGTAATATGCTTTATATAGCAGTAAACTAAGCTATTAATTTTATCTTTATACACATACTTTAATAGTAAAAAGCAGCTAAAATTAAGCAGCTAAAAGAGATGTAATAAATGTAAAGGCATATAAAGCATGTAGATATTATTCTTTTTATAGAGGTCTTTAAATATAGCTAAGTAATAGCTTATATAACTATTTAGAACTAAAAGTTAGCGCGCGCCTACTATTCTATTCTTAGTATGCTTAATAAAGTGCCTTAGCTAAGTAACTTTAAGATTATTATTAGTCTATTTATTCTTACTTACACTAATCTTCTAGTTGCCTAGGATATCCTAATCCTTATACTAGGCAGATAGGTAGTACTAGGCCTTAAAGATAATATATAGTAGGATAGCCTACTTTATAGCATTAATTCTCTAAATAACTATAACTTACTTATAATTACCTAGTTATACTACTTTAAGCTAATAATATTTTTTTAAGCTAGTAATAACTATTTAAAATGTTATTTAGCTTATTATAAAGCTAGCTTTATTAAAGTTAAAGGTATCCTTATCTAAGATCCTATAGGTAGCCTGCGTACACTGTACAAGCTTAAACTAGGTCTGTATTATTCTAGGATCCTTGCATAAAGCTTACTGCTAGTTATATAGTTAATTAAAACATATAGTAAGGCTATTTATACACTTAATAAAGTTTAGCAGCTAGTTTTTTTCTACTAGCTAAGCACTGCGTGCAGTAAGCAGATTGTTAGCTATAACTTGCACAGTGTTTAAGCTAGGCAAGAATTTTTATAAATTAAAGTTAAGTATATGTTTAATAATTAACTTTTTTTTTAGCTTAGTAAGCTTCTTTAAGTTAAGCTAGTAATTACATTATGTAAGTTAACTAGCGCGTTAGTTGTTTAAAGTTAATTAGGGCACATTAAACATAGCTGCAGCATAATTTACACTTTTAATTTGCGCGCAATTAAAGGCTTAGATAGTAAAGATAATACCTACTTTATTTAAACATAATTAAGAAGTAGTTAGTTAAGCTATAGTAGTTAATAGTTAACGCGTTGCGCAAAGTTAGTAAGGCTACTGACTTGCTTATGTTACCAACTCGCTTGTGTTCTATGTTAACAGAGTTAAAATTCTTTTCAGGGTATATTAGGGCTTACTATCCTAGCCTAAACTATGATAAGAGTTGCAACTATCATGCTCAACAGTGAGGTAACGCAATAAAGGATATAGAGTAATGGATAGAACCCAGCAGCAGGGTCTTCTGAAGCTCTATCGTTGAAGTCTTAATCCAAAAACACAATTTCTTCAACCGCTTTATTCACTATGACTTGGTCCCTCACTTCTTCATAGCCAAAAGAATAGAACAAACTCTCAAATACCTGCTCCTGGGTCCACCTCTCAGGCTTACCCCGATTAATAACGTTGGTCCTCTATATTGAACTTGCCCGCCTTGATTAATGTCCAGCCAGAAGAATCAGCTCCATTTCAGAAACAGCTCCATTTCAGAAACCAGTCATACATTCAAATCCCACAAATAATCCACCCATTACGACCCCATCCTCCCCGAATTAGCCCCACTCACATTTCCCCCATCCAGCCCTCTTCCACCAGCCGCACCATCTCCTCCAGCACCAACAAATCCCACTCCAACACCTCCGTCTAGTTCTGCACATCCCCCAGCTTGTTCAGCTCGCGCGTTCTCCCCCGCCAGCGCGCCCGTCCGCTTGCGCAGCTCTGCCTCCTGTGATGCCAGCGCCGCCGCGTTGTCGTGGATGACGGCGGCGCGTGATGTGATGTCTGTGTCCAGCGCCCCGCTGAAGCTGGCGAGGGAGGTGGTGATGGCCACTTTGGCTTCGGTGATGCGTTAGGCCGAGTGGATGGGCGTGCTGGTGGTGGTGGTGGGCGGAGGGTTTGAGGAGGATGGGAGGGTGGTGGGCGAGGATGAGGACTTTGAGGATACCATGGTCTCGTTTTGGATGGCTTGAGATGCTCTAGGTGAATAAGGTTGTGATATCGAGAGCTCGATGCCCCGCTGCGATGCTATGGGCTACTGATATACACCTCCAAGCAAGAGTGGTTGTCGTGCAGCGCGCTGGATGAAGCTGTAGAGTAAGTTCGCGATTGATTCCGATACTTTCTCAACTAGTTCAACGCTGGTTGAATGCTGATTCTAACATTAGATTTGTAGTCTAAACCAAGCCCTTTCTAGATGCATTCGATGGCTTCCTCCGCGGGAAGAACTTATGCTTGATCGCATAAACCGCCTCTCTCCCACTCAAGAAGACAAAGTCACCTATTATCCCCAGGATGACCAAACACACAACTATCAGAGTTGCGACCGAGAACCACGCTGAGACACCATAAAACGATTGCCAATCCTTCTTCGCGCCCACGCCAACTTGCATCGCGCTTAACACGACCGAGAAGATGCCGAAGAAGAAGAGGTACGGTGCGTAATACTGCGCGAGGTAGTCGCCGTACTGCCAGACAATTTTGTGGAAGTAGGTCTTCTTCAAGAGTAATGGAGACCACAGATTCAGTCTCCGCAGTCGTAGCTCGCCGAACCGATATCGCGGTGAGACTTGGCTGTCCTGGATTTCGGCGAAACTGGAGATGAATATCATGAAGTCCTCGTACGTCGCTGTTACGGGGATGAGATGTTCCTTGACTGCTATCCTGTAGTCAGATTCATGTCGAACCAAAAAGTTGTACGACCGCATGTATCCAAGGACGGCTTCTATCAGCTTCGCCTTCGCCTTTGGATCCGAATTGGCATTTGAGTCGTCCAAGTAGTGTCGCCAGAATGCCCACGACAGGAGACATCGAGGAATGGGTTTGATGAACACCTTGCTATCGATCCAGCAGAGATGTAGCTCCGGATTTTCGGTTATGACAATGTTTCGGCCGCGGACAACCTGTTCATGCAGAGGATTGCAGTGGTCGCTCGATGGTTTGGCGACTAACCATAGATGCGGAGCCATTCTGTTCAGATCCGGCGTCATCATTTCACGCTCTAGGACGTCCCGGACATCTAGTTCGGCTAGGGAGATTCTTGGGTGTCCAGGAAGGCGGAGAAGTTTCGATGTCGACGTTATTTGTTTCTGTCCTTCGACCTCTTGAAGCTGGAGCTCGGAACAGAGCTCAGTCTCATGACTAAACGGTACTGTGGCCAACCCCATGCTCTTCATTTGCATTGCCGATAAAGGACGCTGAAATGTTCGTAGAGCAACGACTCGGAGTCATTAAACATGAGGTCGCACAAAAGAATGACCACAGAGCGACGGGTTTTCTGGGCCCAATGTCAGGAATCGAGGCTTTGGTGAGGATTCCCAGCAGCAAGTCTACCCCATACTCCGTATGTACTCTTCGGGTGGTTGCAAGAGACCTCGAGACTCGCTGTTTGCGCGGTGCAATCTCACCCTGCATCGAGCTGAAACTATTCTCGAGCGCCACCCTGCGGAGCGCCCCGCCCCCATCGCGACGCAAAAAGCATTCAGCCCCAGCCATGCGGGTGGATCTGCTGCGGTCCACCCCGTGACAATGCGTCTATCTCAGTCGCACGGTCCTCTTATTCCTCGACCTCCTACCCGGTTCCCAGATTCTAGCTGATTGCGATCTATGAGAGTACTATGCCGCTTCTTTGGTCGCAGTCATTCATTGAAATCGCCAATTGACCACCATGAGGATCATTCTTCAGTGGGCATTTGAACCTCTCAAGGAGCAGGAGAAGCAATCTCGCGATGCGAGGCTCAGTGAGCTTCACACTCCCAGCATACCATATGCGGAGCGACCAGCTGGTGATCCCCAGTATTGCGGAGAAGCAGCCGTAGAGTATGATACCGACTCCTCGTTGTTGCCCTGAGCCTAACATGTGCCAGTATCATCGCCGTCCATGGCCTCGACTCCGACCCGGAGACAGGATGGGCGCGGAAGCTACCTGATGGGTCTCGATACCCCTGGCTGAGAAAGAAGCTCCCGAAAGGCATGCCTGATGCGCGGATCCTTACCTTCTCGTACCCTTCTTCCTTTTACGGCGACCCGACATATACATCGGTTGAAGAATGCGCTAGACAATTGTTGCGAGAGATTATCAGAGACCGCCGCCATCCTGGAAGGCTCCGGATGTGCCCAACGAGGAAGAAGCGTCCAATCGTTTTCTTAGGACATAGTTTCGGTGGTCTCGTTATTAAAAAGGCTCTTCTCATCGCCAACGAATATATCACGGATCGGATGCTTCATGATACCAAGGAAGGCCTCCGAGAACGACAGAATTACCAAGACATCCTCTCCGCGGTCGGTGGCCTGCTCTTCTTCGGCACTCCTCACAAAGGCTCCTCCTTCTCCCGTTGGGCTGAGACGAAGATGTATTTCGGTTCAATGTGCGGACAAGCCACATTTCCAGACCTTATCAGACTGCTCCGGTCACACTCGTTAGACCTTCACGACATGCAACAAGACTTCAAACGGCTGTACAGAGGAGACAAGCTTACTCAGGCACTACTGTACTGTTACTATGAGATGAAGGGCGTTCCTCTGTACCCGCACATAGTGGTCAGCAAAGCCTCCGCATGCATATCCGACGCCGAATGTCGAGGCTTCAACCTTACACACAAGGAGCTGAACAAGTTCAAAGCTGGAGATGATCCAAATTACGACGTGGTGTTAACAGATTTGGAATATGCTGTCACGAACTCGGCCCAGCGCATCGCCAAAACATTCACTCCTGGTAATTACGGGACGACAGGTGCATCCGAAGCAAGCAAAGCCGTCGAAGTTGCGCTGAAACCGGCCACCGGCCAGCTTGATCAACTCCGTACGAAGCTCTCCCATCGTAGACACACGCCCAAATCCTGCATGTGGATTCTCGCTCATTATGACTTCAAGCGCTGGATATCCAATTCCAACCGCCTGGACTCTTTCTGGGTCTACGGGAAAGGCGGAGCCGGAAAAAGTGTGCTGGCCGCGTACATTATTGACTGGCTTCGAACAGACCAAGGCCGAGCAACCGGCGCAAACTTCGACAGCGCTGGCCTTCCCGTATGTCGCCTGGACAAGAACAAAAATGCCTGTGGATACGTCAAGCAAGAAACCACGGTGCTCTTCTTCTTCTTCGGCGTCAATCGTGCGAATCAGCATGTTGTCAGTTTCTTGGGAACTTTGGTGCATCAACTGCTAGCAATCCACTATGACAATGAACAGCTATTCGCGACGGCTAGGAACTTCGTGGACAAGCGAGTGCGAAACCCTGGTGCGATGGAAGACGAGGAGGCAGAGTTCATCAAACTCCTCGTTGATATGCTCACGCTCCTCAGCAGACCGGCGTACATCATCGTAGACGGAGTTGAGGAAAACAGCGAAGACGATCAAGGCATCGCATGTCTGAAAGCTCTTGCTAGGCTCAAGAAGCAACTCTCATCGCCACCGAAGGCGAAAAAGGACGAACAAACCCAAGCCGAAGCAACGTCAAATCAAGCAGTACGACTACAGATCATGGTGGTCAGCCAGGCCACCAGCTCCATCTCCTTTGCCATGCAGGAGACTCTCCCGAGGCGCGCGGAAATTGACATTTGCCGCTATACTGAAGGCGACATTGCCAACTTCGTCCAGACCAAGGGCGACGAATTGATGAGACAAAAGCCAAAGCTGCAAGACTGCAGAGACAAAATCGTCCAGTCGCTCACCGATGGTGCTCAGGGCGTGTTCCAGTGGGTCAATGGAGCCTTCAAGCTGTTGGAGAAGTACGCGGGAGATGTTGAAGGCATTGACAAATGGCTAGGTAATCTACCACCAACTCTCACACAAACCTGGGAGAAAGTGTTTATGCGATTGCCTAGTGGAAACGAGGCAGTAGATGCCCAGAGGAAAATCCGCCTCGCTCTCAAGCTCCTCACCGTCCACGCCCGCCCTCTCACTGCAACTGAGCTCTACTATGCTTACACCATTGGCACCACCGGGTTCCAAGAAGAGGATGATGGCACCTTCAAGACGATCGACGGCGAAGTTAAACGCTTAGTCAGGGGTCGGGAGCAATTCAAAGACAACCAATTTGCTATGGAGGAGATTCGCGGCCTTCTGGATTCTCTGGTTGAATTCGACATCCAGAAAGGAACCGTGGAGTTAGTGCATGATTCAGTTCGACAAGCACTGCTGCTGCCAGATGATTCGGAGAGCCACCCTCAGAGCTCTGCCAGCGAGCAACTACGGTTGGCGGGATATCAGTTCACTGGGCGCGAGGCTCAGGCAGCGGCAGCTGAACTCTGCATGCGAATTGTTCAGAGCTCCACCTTATCGCACGCAACTTCGTTCGCAACGACACCGATTCCATTCGTGGAGTATTGCTGGGACCACTGGAAGTATCACCTGAAACGTTCCTCAGCCAGACCTGGCGTTATCCTGGATCAGATGATCAGAGGCGTCAGTCGTGACACGATTGCTTTCCTTGGAGCGCTCACGGAATTTGTCGGTCGAGATCTCCCTCCTGTGGGTGGCCGATACTCTGACTTGGAGTACATTCTCTGTCTGAAGCGAGCCCGCGAATGTCTTCTGCCGGCGATTGAGCCCTTGACAAACATTCAAAAGGAGCCCGAAGATGCATTGTCAACGACCCTCTTCGGTTATAAGAAACTGGTCGTCCCAGAAGAAGATGCTCCTCTAACAGCGTACGAGATGTGCGAAAACTTTGTGAGAAGGGGTTACCAGAGGGTTCGCGGTCGTTTGATGCCAAAGGACACCACTGTCATCCGACTCCGTATCGATGCATTGCTGGAGAAGCCAGCCTACAAGAAAGCTATATCAAGGTCTGGAGGGACATCTGCGTTGCTAGAAGCTGCTCGCAATCTCCGTTCTGTGGCTCTTCGCTTCGCCGTGAACCCAGTGTACAGCGCCTTGATATCTAGCGCAGGCGGTACAACATTCTCGCCCATTCACCCACTGGTCTATGCTGCAAGTCTTCTAGAAGAGTGCGGAAGCGCCCCATTCTGGGATCAGCTCTCCTCCAACTGGGATCCTATTGACCCATTCATCTGCAACGATGACGACCCGCAGGCGGGACCGGCACGCTTCGTCCTTCAATGCTTCGCCTGGAGAGAGCTGCAGGACCAAATCCCAGCGAATGCAGAATCGAATCGCCAATACATGCGTGCTGTCAGCCGAGTGAACGCACAGCCCAACCTCGGCGGTCGACAGCTGCTGCGCGCATCCACCGAAAACCGAGAGCAGGTGAAGCGCCTACATGGAATGTCTGGTGGCCAATACATGACCTCGCACGTCATCCTTCAACTTTTTGGAGGCAGCAACGAGCAGTCCTTTATGAAGACACTCGTCTACAACCCCATCGGACAACACCACATTCGCTCCAATCTGCTTTTGAACCAGGATGGCAGCTATCTTGGAATGTTCGAAGACCCAAAGCAAACACTAGCACGCCACGCCCCTGAGTCCCTCGCGAGAGCCCCAGTGGCGGCAGCATTGGAGGCAGTCCCAGCCATCCTAAAAATTTCCTTTGTGAAATACGTCACTCTCCTTTTTGAGGGTTTTGGCAACGTCGCATCTCAAGCTATCGCAACACATGCTCGGCAGATGATAGAGGTGGCCCAAGGCGTCCAGATGACAATTCGCCATGTCGATTTCCTTTGGCGAACGGCCAGCCTTGCCTCGTTTTTCCATCTTATCCTGGCAGCATTAATGTTCCTCGTCCGCAACATCTACTTCCCTTCAATTGGAGCACACTACTTGAATAACCCGATGGATCGCCTTCGCCTTGCGATCAAGGAGCCTGCACTTTATCTTCAATCCCAGTACGACTTCTCGTGGTGGTACTGGGCACGAGCTGTATCGACGACGTTAACCTTCAACTTTTGTATGGGATACCTTTCGACACTCGGAGTGGGGGTCACGCTATTCTTCCGCCAAATACGCACCTCGCATCCCGCCTACAGTGGCTGGACATACCTCTCAGAGTACGCGCTCATAGCATTCGCGTCGTTCATTCACTTGTGCAGCTTGCAAAGATACCTGATCAGTGTCTTGTATCTGCTGGGCACAATCACCGCTAGCGGGTACATCATGATGCACGATCAAGCGAAAATCTATTCGATCCTCACCTTCACAGTCTGGTACTGGTTCTATTCGGGTCTCGCCATCCTGAACAATATTATCATTGCAGCTTCCGTTGCGGCTTTCGGGTTCTGGGGATTTCTGCTGGTCCTTGCATCATTTGTACCGCAGTACTACCTCATCAAGCTGGTAACTCACTATCAGCTTGCCATTGCGTGGGTTTTATTGTGGCCATTCAAGCCGCTGGTCTGGGCGGCGAAGCTTGCCTGGGTTCTGTTTCTCCACACCTACGTCCATGTGCTGCAAATATGCGGCATTATCGTTCTATGCGGACTGGTCTTGCTTGCTTTCCACTGGTTCCGGCAACAAGTACAGGATCCATACGACATTGAAGGCTCGGTGCGAAAGCTTCGCAAAGCGGCGCACCTAGCCAGACTTACGCTGAAGGACGCAGAGCGGAAACACATCGGCGAGTATCCGCTCGGGGGCGGGATTGAGGACCAGCCACAGGAGAAACCTGCCTCGGAGAATGGCAGCGCTGCTCCGCCACAAGCAACAGCGTCGAGTGCTTCGCCAGATGTTCCACCAGCTCCTAAACCGATGAACAGCCATGTCTTGAGGCAGCCTCGGCCTAATTCGGACATCAATGATTCTGTCAGAAACTTTTTCACGCAATCCCATAAAAACATAGATGAGTCCGTCGAACAGCTCTTCAACAAGGTCCAAGATCCATCGGCGTACTCGTCTTCACCGGCCGCCAGCCAGCCGCCCAGTCAAGTTTCCCCAGAGATGGACCCCGAGGAGTTGTTCAGGCAGTTCTTCAGCGGCGAAAATGGCTTCAGACAGACCAATACTAATAAATCAGTGGCGGAACAGTTCTTGTTCAACATGAAATCTAGAGATTTCAGCACTAAGGGACAGAAACCCTATGTATTTGGTCAATCCAAGGTTGCATCGAGCTTCACGAACTAGATGAAGAGTAAACCGGCAGTACCCTCTACTATGAATCCACATCAAACTCAGCCGGTTCAACCACCGGCCCAATTTTCTGTTCCGCCACCTCAAACCCAACCGGTCCGCCCGCCGCCCGAGCCCTACATTCCCCCTCTGCCTCCGCCAAAGCCCAAGGTCGCCCCGCCACCCAAGGCGAAGGTTCCGTCGCCGCTACAGGACCACCCCGAGTCGTCTGGGACCACATCGCAAGGGGCATCCGCAGGTGTTAACACTGCGGCCTCTTCGACCCTGAATGCGGACAGCCTAGAGGACCTGCTTAATCTGCCGGGCCGGGAGATGGACGACTTCACTAACGTTTCAACAACCCTAAAGTGAGGAGGCTCATGAACCGCCAGTTCGCGGTTGCGAGTTAGTGATATTCAGCGGATTCGGCTTTCGGCTTTCGGCTTTCCTCTTTTTTTTATTACGACCGATATGAGCGTCTGTACTACTAGTAGGATCTTTTATAAAACGGGCTAGGGATTGTGATATGCCTTCTACGTCCATTTTTTTATATGTCTTAATATGAAGCGTATTGATTTGAGCTTTTATTGTTGGTTCTTCTTTAGTTATCCAAATTTTAGGGGTGCAGTTCTGGGACATCTCATTTGATGGCCCATTTCTGGGCTTCAATGCCAGCTCACCCCTGCGATTATCTTTCGCGTAGAGTTGACAGGAAACCGTGAAGGAATTTTCTATAATGGGGGCTGGCTAATGGAGTTGGGATTGAAAGGTGAGTTGGAAAGTGAGCACCTGAACTGTGGCGGTGCAAACGGAGCAGCTGAGCCGAAGTTGGGCCGGGCGTTATTTTGCTTCCAAATCGGGGATACAGCGCTAATCAAAAGAGGAAGTGGGAGAAGGTCAGTCGGTTGATAATATACACAATAGTACTTCACACGGCGACTTGCAAGAAAACCACCAGCACTGCAGCATACCTACAACTCCATGATTAGCATTTACCTCACACAGTCTCTAGACTCACTTACGCCGCAGTAGCCCCTAGGCTTTCGAAAGGTCTCGCGATCGTCGTGAACGTTACTAAGGACAAAAAGCAGACAAGGAAGGCCGTGATTATAGCCAGCCGGTTCACAGTCTTACCCACGAAAGCGAGTAGCCAGAGAGGAACGATCAGCATTATCAGCCCAAGGGTGGTGTTGATCATGCCAACGAAGAAGTCGATTCGTTGATCAGATGTATAGTGGATATTTTCATCTTGAATCTTTGGGGCTTTCTTCCACAGCTTCCATAGCCTGAAATGCGAGGATTGCTCAAGAAGACGGCGAAGAGGTGTTTTATTCTTTGGAACAACGGCAAACAGGTCGCCGTGGGAGTGTATGTAGGAGGTCTCAGGTGGGTGAATCGCGTTCTCATAGTTGTGGAACCAGTTCGAGATGCTCGAAATGTCCTTTTCCGGCACTCGGGGACGAGATCGGACCTCGGAATGCTGAATTACGAGTTCGTCTATCATATATAAGTCTATGAAGCTTTGGTTGGAAAGAAATTTGAGGCTGACTGTATGCTCGGAGCTTCTTGTCGATCTCTCGAATCAGCTCCAGTCTCGTCTCCGAGGTCTCTTCTCGTAAGGAACCGTTGTGGACATCTGGAGATGCTGGATCCGAAAGGTGATTTTCGAGAAGCTGCAGCTGCTCTTCTAGTTCAGAGAGCTCGTCTTGAAGCGCTAACAGTACCCTTGCGGTAAGTTGGCTGAAGCGTCGTAGGACGAAGAAGTCGTTGTCAGATACTACAAAGTCGCAAAAACCGCGATAGCCGACATATTTCCAAGGCCTTTTGTGGAGCGCTTCTGTTGACACATTTTCTGTCATTTTTAGTGTTGTTTGGGGATTTGGGTGGAATTGTCCAAAAGTTTGCCTGGAAAGATATGACGAGGCCGAAACTCAGCTGAAAGGTATTTGGCGTTACACAACATAGCGGCACTTTTTGGACCACTGACGGAGGTTGTTTTGTTACTATAATTAAAGATGTGAGAATGCAGTGCCACTAAGTCTCTCTTCGGACTGATCTTATCTACACTGAAACGCCCCGAACTATCTCGTTGCCTCAGTCAATCTTTCTTTTAGCCCCGCTTGACACCCCCCTCGTCAGCCTCGTTCCCCAGTATCGCAGTCAACCATTAATACTCCAAACCGTACCGAACAATGCCGCTCGCTCGATCTTCCACCTTCGCTTTCCCAGTCGATGTTTATGGAGGCTACAAAATCCGTCCCGGTTCGCACGCAGCAGAAGTCACAAAGAAGAAAATGAATCTGTTTGTGAGCTCTGAGGCTAAGCAAATACAAGACGAATCGCAATCAGAATCGCAATCGCAAGAGGAAACTGCTAAACCACCTCAATTCTCCGGACCTAAGATCGGCGGCGCAAAAAAATTTGTTGGAACGCCTGGAAATGGACTGACGCGATCTTCGACATTCTCTGCGACCTCAACTAATACGGTGAAACCAAAGCAACGAGTCGTGGGCGCCTAGGACATTCATCTAGATTGGTTTTTAAATGGCCGGGTATTGACTGTCTGACATGCTGGCTTATGCTGGCTGACGCTGGGGTGGAATATCCCTGGGGATAGTAATAGTATATCTATGGTGAGGTGTCGCACACTTGGCCAGAAACTCTCACACTCTTGCAAGAAGCCCTAGGAAATCGTTTATTCAAGGAAGGAAATTTTGGTAGAAGATACTGGCACGCTAAATTCAGCGGGTCATCTTAGACCGGCCTCTCATACTCCACAGTGTACATCTGTTACCTAACTGCCCGTTCCCATATTATTGACTAAATCCACGTCATCAACTTCAACGCTTTCAGTTTTGCTTCGGAAGTAACTAGTAGTCCTTTCGTATGATGTCGCAAAAAGGTTTTCCTACATCTTGCCCTACTATAATGACAGACTCGGATAATCTCTGTCTAATTTAGCAGTCTATTGCTAGATAAGGAAAGGAACTTCCGGCGGGAATTGTATCAGAGCCTTGTTTGAAGAAATGTCCCCAGAACAAATAACAACTATTTATAGAGGGTTTTTGGCGAGCAGTTTCCATTTGGCTTCAATCGACGAGAATAAGCAGCAGTCGTGTGCAAGATACCACCAGAGTATCCGAGCTATGTAGTCCCTAACATCCAGAACGATATTCCTGTATCCAAAGAGCCGTCTACGAGTCCCAGGGAGGACACCGGATCCCATTCCTGTCTACGGCGATGGATTCAGTTTCGTTTTCCTCTTGGGAAATCGATACCAGGGGCGAGATTAAAACTCCAGGTCAAGAGTTTCCTACTTTTGTGGGACCTGACATCCGCTACTGCAGTGCGGGACATAAATGCTCACTAGAACTATTTGGTATGCATACATTCACCAAAGAGAAACACTCTGGATTCCCATTGAGCCCATCTACGTTAAACACATTCACCAGAGAGGTTCAGATTGGCTCTAGAGTTCCTACACTAGTGTCGAACGAGCTGTCGATCATTACAGCCAAACGCATGTCCTTCAAACAAGTCAATGACGAAGGTCGTGTTTAGACTCACAAAATGGACGAGTATAGTGTCGTCAATTTCTAGTACCGAGAGAGGTGCTTTCGCTGGTACTACATGATCTAAGACGTGAACCGGGAGAGTTTGAGTAATGGGCGGTGGGGGTGGTTTCCGGAATAACGACTTCCTGGAATTAAACCTGAAGAATTGAACGCCTGTAAAGCTTCCATTTAGAACCATAGGCTTAAGTGCAAATAAGCAGCATGTCAATATAGAAAACATTCTCAAGACGATCACCTTTTAAAGATCCACAATGGCTGACGCATTATGTCTGGGAACTTTCTCTTTTTTTTAAAAAAAAATAAATAGAAAATAGAAACACGGCTCGTGATTAGTCACTATACTCCTCTTGCTCATACTCCTCCTCCTGATACTCCTCGTGGTGCTCTTCATGATGTCCCCCGTGTCCTCCATGACCTCCACCATGCCCCCCACCATGACCCCCACCATGCCCGCCACCATGCCCTCCACCATGCCCTCCACCATGTCCTCCATGGCTAGCTTTCTTATGTCCACCCAAGAGCCCCGAAAGCCCTCCTCCTCCACCATGTGCCCCACCGCCATGAGCCTTATCACCATGTCCAGAAGACCCTCCCATTCCCGTTTTCTTCTTAATCTGCTTTTCAGCGAACTTGCCCAAGAATCCGAGACCCTTTCCCATCATGCCGCCGGACTCTTTGCCGCCTTTACTGTTGCTACCGAAGAGACCACGTTCTCCTTCGCCAGCACCGGCGGGAGGTGCAGTAGTGTCGTGAGTTTGTGGGGCGTGTTGGGGTGGTGGCTGAGTTTGGGGCGCGTACTGATGATTGGCGCTGTGTTGAGGTGCACCGTGTTGGGGAGGAGCTCCATACTGCTGAGGAGGAGAACCATGCTGCTGAGGAGCACTACCGTACTGCTGAGGAGGAGCGCCGTACTGCTGCTGAGGAGCGCCGTACTGCTGTTGGGGAGCTCCATATTGCGTAGCGCTGTACTGCTGAGGGGGAGCACCGTATTGCTGTCCGCCGTGCTGCTGTCCACCATATTGCTGACCGTCATGTTGTTGACCACCGTATTGCGGAGCACCATATTGTTGTCCACCTTGTTGCTGAGCGCCATATTGCTGTGGAGGATAGCTCTGGTTGGGCGGGGCTCCGGCAGGGTTGTATCCTTGGGTAGGAGGGTGGTTCGATCCAGGAGTGGAATTGTAGAAGTCATGTGACGACATTTTCGCCGAGTCCACTTGCCAACAGCGCAAAATATTGGTTTATTGAGAGCACGCGATCAAGTGAGGTCTGGAGGGAACAGAGATCCAGCAAGAGGAGGGGGTTAGAGGGGTAAAAGTGGAAAGCCTGAAAAGGAAACATATGTACGGATCCGTCGGCTGCCATCCATCCCAAAACAAACCCGTGAAACAATCGCCCGCTCTGCATTACTCTTCTCTGGTCTCATCTGAATGGCACCACTTCTTCCAACACGAGAACGCTGACGATTCCTGAGAACCTTTAGCCTTTTCGGGGCCGTGAAACGAAAGAAACGCCTATGGGGGGCGCGAATTGATGAAGCTACTGCGCCCCGCAAATAGAGTGCGCGCATAAGCTTTGCCTTGTGGCGGCCAAAGATAAGCTTGGTGAAGCTTGAGCCTTCCAGAGCTGAAAACACCTCGTATCAATGACGTACCTTTCCCATCTTGGGTCGAGGAGTACCGAATCGAGGGGTGGAGCTCGGGACCATGGATACGGTCGTATTTATCGAGAATTGAGCTTGATTTGGAAAATCTCCAATATCGAGAGTTTGATGGATGTGCCGAGCTTGGTAAATGCGTTGAATTAGGGGGATTAGAAGAGGATAACTCAGGCGAAGAAAAGTGCAAATAGGAAGGAAAAGAGCGCATTGGGCGGAGGTATCATGCTTAATAAGTGTGGATTCTGGCGAAAAATGACGATCCGATCAGACGTGCGCTGTGATGGAAAAGGGTAGTCTTCGTTCGTCCTCCCCGTTGCTCCTCTCCTCTTGGAATACCAATAAGCATCCTAAAATTTACCTCTTCGCGCCTCAAGAAGCGCATTATACTGTCGCTGCTGTTGCTTGCGGGTTTCGTGAACATCTCGTACCTTCCGTTTTCGGGTATTCCACCCCCGGCACGGGATTTGATAGAGTTGCAATGAGGAAGTTGCTGACTCAACGTCTACGCATCTCATTGTAATATGTGAGCAAGATATCCTAGACCCATGGGGAACGAATTTGAGACTTATGAAGGCAACTCACCTCTGATTCCTCTTGCTATCCACCAAGCACCGTGGTGCAAATACCGAGAGGTGCGGAGACGGCTTTTTTTGACCAGCCAGGTTGAACAGAAATGATTTCCTCCTGGATTTTTCTTGGCTGGAAGTTTGCCCTATTCATCGGTTATTCGATAAATGGGGCTTGGAAGTGAATGCGCACAATGGTGGAACATTTGCGGTGAGCTCTAATAAACAAAATACCTCGCCAGGTCGGAGAAGAAAACACGAAACAATCGAGTATGTGGACAATTTCACATGTAGTTAAGACAATGGGGAGATGAGAATGAGCTTGTGTGGTTCGCCTGAAGTCGGATTTCGTCGACTTCGTACTGTTACGGTACTGGGGAGGGTGTTTTCGGAGATCGGAACGTGACACCAACTCCAACACCTGTGCGACACGCAATCCTCGCTAAATTGAGAGGTAGGATACTTCGTACTGAAAGTATCCGCAGCTCTAAGGGGAGACCCCATAGGAGGTGCTGGAGAGCGAAAAGGCGCCGCCCTCGAAAGGAAGTGATTCAGTCAGGGATTGCGGTAGGTATCTGATTGGACAGCCTTGCGACACAGACGTAACAAGACCGAATCAGAGGCTACCGTTTTACCGCCACTAGTCTAGAATCCTGACATCCTCGAGGGGGCAGTGGTGGGTATACCCCAAAATACCGCAGGATCTGTTGAGAGCTTTGGATAACTGGCCGAACCCCGAAAGGCACACCAAGAAAATCGAGTCTTTGAAGAATTTTATGCTACTGCAAGTATCTATATTTCTAATATGCACGCACCTTTAATAGTATTTAGCCTCACGCTAAAAACAACACTCATGAGATCTAAGCTAGCCGTAGCAGGTGAACCATTATATCTGATACGAGAAAAGGTGGAACCTGGATTTAAATTTTCCTAGCAGAAGTTTATAATATGAGAGCTGACTGGCGTTGCACACTTAGCCTTTAGCCTCTAGCAAACTCCAAAGCCATCTTCGACTAGACTTTCGAGTTTCCTTCAAACCTAGAATACGCGCGGTATTTAAGATGAGAGTCGCGTTCCATATCCCTTGGCTCGACAGTATAGTGGGCCTTTTCTCTATCCCTCTTGCCTTGGACCGCAAAGATGAGGCATACGGGTAATCCCCGAAATGGAAGATTATATAGAATATACCTTGGTCTTGTATTCTACTTATCTGTACCCTACTACTCGAGAACCATAATTTAACGAGCAACGAGGACAATCGCGGAGTCAGTGGTGATGAGTCTGGTCAGAACCAGACTCTCGCAGAAGGGTCTATCCTGGTGTTGAATCGTCTTCATTCAGAAGACTAGGAAGATTTCCCAAGAACAACGACAGCTGTCCATAACGAAACCTTAGTCTTGCTTGCCGATATGTGAGTTTGCACATGGTGAGTTGTGCGATCAGATTACTTGGGGGCGACTGTTGTACAGTCTGCGTGGGGGTGGACATTAGAGAAGTCATATATGACATGCAGGTCAGTAGATCGATTGAGACGATTGTGCTTAAGACTTTGAAGAGAGTGTACGCAAAGACTGAGAAGAGACAAGAAAGCGACTACAGTGTCGTAATTTAGCCACAGAGGAGAGAAACGATACGGGGGGGGATCGATTGCAGGATCCAAGAGGAGAGTAACAATATACAAACAATAATAGCAAGGAAGAGTATAAATTTGCTATTGGCTATGAAGCGTTGAAGCGATTATTTAAGTAGACAGCAGGATTAAGAGTGCCTAAATAAATGCACCGTGTGCTGTTAAGAAGAAAATGACCGGGGGTAATTGAAATGCTCCGGCTTATGATTCGCTCGCCCGGATGACCGCATTGGGTATATTTATTTTAACTCAAGAAGAACCGCTACCTTAGGCATTTACTACAATTCTGTGACGTGATCAGCGGCCGATAGTTATTCATCGCGCTGTCATGTGACCTGCAGTCGGGAGAATTTTCTTCTGCGATTACTCGGGACAATCTTCGGCTCCCGGGTGGAATAGCGAGCTCGGAACCGAGCTCCCTCAACCCTAGGAACAGTTCAAGTGAGCTCATACGCAGAGTCCGAAAGAATTGATCAAATTCTTGGCAGTGGACAGGTTGCATTTGAGTGAGCCTTGGAGAGTGCTCCTGGCTCACCGCTCCCTCATACTTCGAGAGCCGCATATGCATCCCTCTAGTCGAAGACAAGCCACCGACGCCAGATTGGAGAAAAAGAAACGAAAAAAATTGAAGTCTATGAACCACCGGACTTTTTTGCGACCCTGCTGTGATGCATTGCTGTGAAGGAAAAGCGTCCGCCGAGATTGGGGTATGTTGTAGGATAAGGTGGTCTCGTGTTGAAGGCAGTTCTCCCCCGGACGCAGCATGAAAACTTCTCAACTTCCGGTCTAACGATGCATGGTACATCGATCCAGAGCGGCAAGCAACTCCGGTCGATCCGCTAACGCCGTTCTGGCTTGCGTGTATGTCATCCACTGTCTCGAGCGCTTGTTCATCTCGGGCCACTGCGCTTCTTGCTTCTCGACGATGGCCTCAAAGAAGTGGTAGGCGGCTTTCGGGGCCTGCGCCGTGAGCTGCTCCGGCCGCCTACTCTCGGGGATGAGGCCGAGGTCGTAGGAGATTTTGCAGATGATGCCGGCTTCTTCCCAGGCCTCTCGCTTGGCGGCATCTTGGGCGGTTGCTTCGTCGGTCTCCCAGCCGCCCTTGGGGAGCACCCAGCCGCCGCGGCGAGCCGACTGGATGAGGAGCACGTAGTATTTGTCGGCTGAGAGGGGGACAATTCCAGCGACAAGTCGCTCTCCTTGGGAGCCGTAGCCTATGCACAGGACAAAGAATGTCAGCCAATTGTCAACGGAATCGGCGTCAATTTGTGAAGCGGTCACGCTCAGACTCACGCTGGTTGCTCCGGCCGGTGCGCGACTGCATGGGCAGCTGCTGGGTGGCAGCCATGGAGGGCAGGGGCGATGGGGGGTACCTCAACGAAGGGCGAGCAGGCGCAGAGGGTGGCAGAGGAAGGTGCGACTTGCTCAACGAAACAGCGTGCAGACTGTGAAGGTGGCAGCTGAGGGAGAGACTATCTATGCCGGCGACGGGGAGGGTGGCTTCAGGACACGAAATGAAGCCGAGCAACGGGCAGGTAGCGTGAGTCTGGGGCTGATCAAGAGAGCAGAGCTTGGGGGAGCGAGAGGGAAGCTGCGAGGAGGCTGACGGCTCAGTCCCGCGGGGGACGGGGCTGAGGATATTGAAAGGGCCTGCGCAGAGGGAAGGAGGGAGGCATCGTGGATCGTGTATGTGTTTTAGGTGGTTCGAATCAGGGTCTGTAAAAAATGTGGGAGACTAAGAGGTCGCGGCTGGGTCACCACGCCCAGCGTAACTACTCACCATCTCCGGAGCCTATAGGCGCCAAGCCTCAGATCAGAGGACGACACACGGGCGTGCGGCCGGGGGGCATGTCGCGACGAGAATATGCGCGACGACAATGGCACATATGCTCCGCGGCGAGCGGCGAGGCAGCAGCAGCAGCAGCAGCGAGAGTTGCACGCGAAGGGCTCGCCCGCGAGTGTTGTGGCCAGCCAGCGCGCGTCTTTCGGTGTCGTCCGAGGGGTGAAGGATGCCGGCTTGCGGGGCACAAAGCACCTAGGCAGCCCTCCTCTGCCTCTCAATCTCGCCATGACGTGGTGCTCTATCAATCCATGGGCCATGGGGCTCCTGAATGCTCCAGTGACAGGCGCGAATTCGCCCTCGTGAAGCCGCAGATCAGATATCTGGAGAGCTGCGCTGCCTGCTGGGTTGTCGTCTGCATGTCAGTGCAGTACCTGAACCCGCCGGCCAGATTTCTCCGCCGCAGCACTCTGCATCTCTGCCTCGCCCGTCATCACTGCCCACCCATTTATTCTTGTCATCTTTGCCTGTCAGGGTAACGGCGCCGCTGTCTCCCGCTAGAATTCTCGCTCCAGTCTCACTTCGAAGTTCAAACACCGGAGCTCCAGCGTAGGCCTCGACCCTGTTCCCTTCCAAGCAGCTGCTCCCCAACGCCTCTGGATTCAACCCTTCCGTCGCACTCACGCCGCTCCCGCCTAAGACTAATTCCCCCCCCCCACCGCAGCGGCTGGCTCCCACGCTTATGCTGCCATCATGCAGTCCCTTGTAACGCCTTTAGGTACGTCTTGCTCCAACCATCTGCCTCGCCTGGGGCTCGTGCCTGTCTGGCTGGATACCGAACGCGCTTCACCGTTTAAAAAAGACGACGGACAACCCTCTCCCGATTCCTGGATATTTGACAAGGTGCTGATGTCCTCCCTCACTCCTCTAGGCTACTCGGCGGAGAGTTGCGGATACTGCAAAGATGCCTCTACTGGCCGTCGCACTCCAAATTCTCGTATGTAGCCATTTCCTCTCCTTCCCCCTTCGCAAGACCGTCACGCGTGCATGACCTGTCTTCGCGAGGCCGGCCAAGAGAATGATAGCGAAGCCATGGACATTCTGAATCAGCATGGATGGCCATGTCGACGCTTCCTTGTTCATTTGATGTTCCATTAAGGTTGCTCACGCTCACGTGCACTCTTCAACTCCCCGCTATGTGCATGATTAAACCTGTTCCGAAGCAGCTAGCCGAAGCTCGCCAAGGTTTGATCGTAGCCCTGAATATCATTCTGTGCCAGCAGCCATGACGGTATCGTGCGACATAGGCGCGATGGGGCTCACTGCTCTATCGTGTCAACAATACCACGTCACTGTTGTTTTCGGCCTCCCCTGCTACTCCACAACGATCAGACGGGAGATCTCGGGATGACACCAATTGCATTACCTAGGTACTGACAATGTTACATAATCAGGATGCTCTTACTACATCACGTCGAAGAGCCTAAGTACCCAAGCTTACCAGGATCTGGTTGACCGTGGGTGGCGGAGGTAAGCTATCTCGACGGTCTTCCCATTTAAAAATCGAGCAAGATTGCGGTAGTCGATAGATACAGGACTAAATCTCCGCCCTGCTAGATCCGGTACGATTCTCTACAAGCCAGATGTACTTCGGCACTGCTGCCCTCATTACACCATTCGGCACGTATTGGCACTGGATACAGAGCCACAATAGCCTAACATACGACAGGCTCCCCGCCGCTTCCTTCAACCCCGCCAAAGAACACAGACACGCGGTGAATCGGTGGAATAAACACATCCTTGGTGAAGACTACATCAAGGAGGCAGCAAAACTATATCCCAAAACTAAGCAGTGAGCCAAGTCAGGCTTTCCCATACTTCCCTTACTAACCGAATCTCAGAGAAAAGGCTCGACAGCGGAATGGATTCGACCTTGTTAGTACCATTCACGAGGGCGAATTTGAGAAATTAAAACGCCCACCAGAGCCGGCACATCGATTTGAAGTGATTCTGGAGCCAGACGAGTTCACAGATGAAAAGTTCGAACTCTTCAGTAATTACCAACAACATGTTCACCATGATGGGCCTTCTGATGTGTCAAAGGATGGCTTCAAACGCTTCCTCTGTGGCTCCCCGCTGCAACGTACCATCCGAGAAGTAGACGGACATACACAGCAGCTAGGATCTTATCATCAATGTTACCGGCTTGATGGCCGGCTCATTGCCATGAGCGTGCTAGATCTTTTGCCCCACTGTGTTAGCAGTGTCTACTCGATTTATCATTCTGATTTTGAGAAGTGGAGCTTCGGCAAGTTGAGCGCCATGAGAGAAATAGCGTTGGCGTCGGAAGGGGGTTACCAGTTCTATTATATGGGCTACTACATCCACTCCTGCGTGAAGATGCGATACAAGGGAGAGTATAGACCCTCATATATACTGGATCCAGAAACCTACGAGTGGAATCCTTTAGACGGAGAACTCCGAAGGTTACTCGACGCCAAGGCCTACGTGTCGTTGTCAAGAGAACGTCGGCGAAGAGAGGATACCGCCATAGCTGCCCAGGATATTGAGAACGAATCGAAGGGCGATGCCGGCGATGCCGGCGATACCCCGGAAGTCGCACCCGAATACCCCCTGCTCAACGCGGAAGACGCTGGAAAGGCTGTGATGCAAGGGATGTCTCTCTTCGAATTAAAAGTTCCCGGTCTTATGACGGTGGAGCAAATCGAGCATCAAGTGCAGCTCGATCATACAGCGATCCAAATTAGGAAAAGGTCTATCACAGTGGAAGCAGGGGTGAGTTCTTGAGGATATACTCCCTAATAGGCATGATAGCTAACCGCTGAAAGGATCTCATGAATTGGGAAAAGAGTTATATTCGAGATCCCAGGTCGCTCAAGGGTGTCATTGGAGAGCTTGTTGCTGCCATTGGGCCTGAGGTCGTTAAACAGGTGGTGGTGGACTTTGGCTAAAGTTGGCAGGTAGTTGCCAATTAAGCAACTGGATGGATATCTTACGGTCTTAGGCACAAAAGAATACATGAACACTGGCCGCGGCGCACTATATTCTCCAATTTCTACTCCATACATCGCGAACCACTTTTCGTGGCCTCTTGTTTCCTCTGCAGAGGGTGCTAAACAGGGCATAGTGGAAAATTTGTAGAGGCTACCCCTTTCCGGACTAGCGGATTTATATGCCAAGACTAACCGGGTCCAGCGATGTCTACCCACACTACCACAGTAACTCTATGTCCGGGGACTTTTGACTCCCTTTTTGGAGAGTTTCTACCGTCGTTTTTGGAGCAACCTACATCCATCAGCTTTTGTAATCTCTAGCCATTTTTTAGCAAGTGCCGCGCGAGCAGTCACTCTGGTGTCAGCAACTCCAGCTATATATAATATAGTACAAGAAGTTTATGGCTTTGCCACTGTATTACATTAACCGAATTTTAAGGAGAGCAAGTACAGTTGGAGAAGCTTAGCAAGTGAAGCTAAAGAACCTTTCCAAGCTACAACTAACCATTTATTGTTCCGACCATCCATTCTGGTATGATAACGCCTCTCGCATTGCTAACGTATATCCTTTAATCCAACATAGAACCTTAGTCATTGTTTCTTATCCGCAGTCGTGCCATTGGTAAGCAGGTTTAGTGCGGTTAACACTTGATCTAGCGCAGGACCTGACATATTCGAAAGCTGAGCGGGTGTGGCAGGAAACCCTTGGACGTCGATGTTTGTCGTCAATTCGCGGAGTGCGGTAAGAGGGTGCTGGGTCTTCTAATACAAGAGTTTTGAAGGCGGGTAGTAGAATCGTACTCGCTGTAACAATAACTAGTTAATAGATAAATAGGACATCAAAATAGTATTCACTCACGTTTGCTTGATGGCCTGTGGAGATATCTGTGCGGAGTTGCAGTGTCTGTTGCTGCATCTGCTGCACCTGCTGCTGCGTCTGTTGGTAGTTTGCTGCACCTGCTGTATTATTGTCGTGGACTGAGCAATTTGAGGAAGATTGGCAAGATTTGCGAACTCAGTGGTGGCTTGCAGGAGTGCTTGTGTTAGGCGCCCGAAATCTGGTTGTGGGCCGAGCTGAAAGCCCAGGCTGAGGGGGATTGCCGTTTTCCATGGCCTCTAGTGATGGGAAAAGAAGACTCGAAGAACTGAGTGTGGTTGAGGCGAGCGAATGTTGAGGTGGGGATGAGCGGGTAGATGCACAGTCAACAATGTGCACGTGCAGTGGAGACTGCACTAAGCCCGAAGAGGGAGTCCTAGGACAGAAATTACCTGAGATATCCTTCTAGCGCATCCCCACCTCTCTGTGCTCCCACAATGGCTTCATCCAGCATATCGCTTGTAGTGCGCCCCCGTGGTAGGATGAATGCTCCTATAACGAGCTCTATGGCCACTAACATTGTGTTTCTACAGGCCGACCGATCAAGAACCTTCCCGAATCCATCACCATCAGCCCGGACGACTCAACCACTCAGATATTCGAGAAAATTGCGAGTGCCTCTAAGTCTTCCACCCACCGGCTGAGAATTACAAAGGGCAGCGATGGCTCGCCAATCCCCAACACCGGTTCGGTGACAGTATACCAAACAGGACTTCGGAGCAGGAGTGCAATAGACGTGAAGGACCTCGGTGCGTAACGGGATTATCATCTATGTATTTCATCTCTATATTTTGCATATCTAATTTCTTTGCAACAGGCCCCCAAATTGCCTGGCGGACAGTCTTCATAGTCGAGTACCTTGGCCCCCTCCTCATCCACCCTCTCGTCTACTCGGCCCGCGCTTTGATCTACGGCACCTCCACTCCACCCTCCGAGCTACAAAAACTTTCACTACTTATGGTCTCGCTGCATTTTTTGAAGCGCGAGTTTGAGACCCTCTTCGTACACCGCTTCTCCCTCGCTACCATGCCCGCCAGGAACATTTTCAAGAACAGCGCGCACTACTGGCTATTGTCGGGCTTGAACCTGGCATACTGGACTTATGGCCCCAATGCACCGACCGCTCGTGCCTCAAATCCTCTGATAACCTACGCCGGAATTGCGCTCTTCGTGATCGGCGAGTTGGGAAACCTGTCCAACCACTACACGCTGAAGAATCTGCGGCGCCCAGGCAGCACCGACCGAGGGATCCCAAAGGGGCTTGGTTTTAGCCTCGTGACGTGCCCTAACTACATGTTTGAGACTATGGCTTGGGTTGGCGTCTGGCTGGTCAATTGGAGTCTGAGCACTGGCGTGTTTCTGGTGGCGGCAGCCGTCCAGATGGCCTTGTGGGCGAAGAAGAAGGAAAAGCGCTACCGCAAGGAATTCGGGGACAAATACAGGCGCAAGCGGTTCGTCATGCTCCCAGGTATCTACTAAGTTTGGGCACTGCAACGTAGAGAACCAGCGGTTACCGTCGGTGGCAGGGCTGTTCTACACAATTGCAGCTCGCGCCGAGGCTGAGACGGGCCTTGCATCATCTCATCACCATCATCGCCCGCACGCCGCACGAGATCAAATTGTTGTAGCGGAGGCCGCTAGGTCGCCGTTGCAATGCTACCTCCGCCATGTTTTTGTGTGCAGTGGCACAACAACAATGGCAACAATAGCATCGCCGTACGTTATATACGCTGCTTCGATAATTCTCATAATCCAATATCCTTTAGCCTTGATTTGAGACCGCCAGATTCAATTTTGATGTTCTTCCCCGCACCGCTTGCGGATCGGCTAGGCCGATGTGTGTCCCCTTCTGGCGGGAAAGACATTGAGATGCAAAGCGACCCTGCATAAGCGCGAAGACAAGCCACCGCCCTCACCGACAATGATAGATGCTCTTGGTCCTGCATGCTAGAAAACGTCAGACGATAGTAGATAATCACATTGCCTTGTTGAAGCCGGTCTCTAGTCGTTGCCCAAGCTGACACTGTCGTCACAAAAGGCAGACTTGTCCTTCAACTAGCGGCTAAAAACGGAGTGATCCTGGATGGTGGGGTCCCTTTTTGATTGCACATGAGACCATTCACAAGCATCCTTTTTCAGCTGACTGCCTGGTACATATGCCTTTTTTCTTGGAGAGGTTGCTTTTGCCGGGTGCTGATTGGCTGACGGGGCGAATGGGCGGGCCGAGGAAGTGAACGAGCTGGGGGCGGAGGGGTTGTGGCTGGCGGCGAAGCCCTGAGAGCGTGCTGACTTACAACCAATCCATTCTCGACCAGGCAAGAGGTTCAGCCGCAGCTTTCGTTCTGGCACGTTTCTTTCTTTGCGGGACCGGACTTCAGAGATATAAGACGGACGTTGGTTCCTGGTGTGAGCAATGGTAAATCTGATCGTTTGTCGTCTCTTGGTTCGACGTACGTGAACGAAACATCGTATTTGGATATCCCGCGCCAAAATCTCTGCTGGTATCACATTCACATTTCAGCCTTACGGCCCCCACTTGATAGCCCTGTCGCGACTCCCTGGGTCCAAGACAGAGAGTTGTTCCGAACCCTTGTTGGAATCTTACGGAGAGCTCAAGGTTTAGGTCGTTTCTGTTACTATTTTTACTCTACCGTCCAAATATCAATGTGAGTACCTCGACAGGTTCAGAATTCACGATATTGTTCTTGTTACTCTTGAGGTGTCTTCCATTCGACCCATTAGAGTTGGGATGGCACATTGAGGCCTTTCTAGTCCTACCGCTCAACATTTTCTCGTTCCAAAGTTATCTCGTCCCGACATTCCATCTCCAAGTGCCACTCTCTTGTCTACGAAGATCTAGCGGGGTACCCTCCTTTTCGGTTCTCTCGGAACATCTCCCCACAAAGTCCAATTTCATTTCTTGTCTGATGTTTCTCCCACTGACTGATCCCGTCATCAGTATCATTCACCCATCATGGCCGACGAATGGAAAGACAAAGTCGAGACCCGCACCGGTATCACTCCTCCGAGGCCGGAAGGGATCTCTGAGCTTGACAAGCTTCGGAATGCCCTAGGTGCACCCTTCAAGCAAGCCGCTAGTGTTGTTGGTGCTGCAGTCCGACCAGTACCTAATCAAACCGGGGATGGGTCAGACCTTGATCCAGAGAAGGAAAATGCTATTCTCAAGAGGGTTCTGGGAGATATTACGGATCTGACCCACCTGAGAATCGAAGACGCCGACACATTACTGAAGCTTTCATATGCGAAGTTGACCGGAGAGCCAACTGATGATAAAACATATCTGATGGAAGGCATAATCAGAGCAGCTGCCAAACTACCAGATGGCTCCCAGTTTCGTGACAAACTCACGCACAATTTGCTGACGACACTCTGGAACGACCTGCAGCACCCGCCGATGTCGTACCTCGGAGCAAAATACCAATTCCGCTCTGCTAATGGTTCCAACAACAGTCTCATCCATCCTCAGCTTGGCGCAGCCGGAACGCCATACGCCAGGACTGTTGAGCCAAGGTTCATGCAGACGCCCGCTCGTCCTGATGCTGGGGTTGTTTTCGACAGCATTATGACAAGGAAACACCGAGAGCTCCACCCAAACAGGGTATCGAGCGTACTTTTTTATCTCGCTTCCATCATCATTCACGACCTTTTCCGCACAGATCACGATGACTTTGCGAACTCAATGACCTCATCATATCTCGACCTCTCCCCCTTATACGGTAGCAACCAAGAGGAGCAGGACTTCATGAGGGTCAAGGTTGACGGAAAGATAAAACCAGATTGCTTTTCGGAACAACGCCTCCTTTTCTTCCCTCCTGGTGTGGGCGTCTTACTTATTATGTTCAATCGTTTCCACAACCATGTTGTGGCCAACCTTGCTTCGATCAACGAAGGGAACCGATTCACGAAGCCTACACCTCCAGCGGACCCGGCGAGTGAGGCTGCGGCTAAGTTGTATAAACAGAAGCTTGCTAAATACGACGAGGACCTCTTCCAGACTGGAAGACTGGTCACCTGTGGTCTCTACGTCAACATCATTCTGATTGACTACGTCCGGACCATTCTCGATCTCAACCGCACTGACAGTAACTGGCAGTTGAATCCTCGTGCGGATATGAAGGGTGTTCCTACAGCTGTAGGCAACCAAGTCTCAGCCGAGTTCAACCTAGTTTATAGGTGGCATTCTGCGGTGTCAGACCGAGACGAAAAGTGGACTCAAGATTTGTGGGACGGCCTGTTTGGAAAGGGCAGGGATCCCAAGACAGTCGACAAGTTTGAATTCCTTGGGAAGCTCAGGCAAGTGGGCGAGAAGACACCAAAGGAGCCTGAGAAGAGACCTTTCGCTGGTCTAACTCGCAAAGAGGATGGAACGCTTCCGGATGAGGGCCTTGTTAAGATCATGACAGAGAGCGTCGAGGACTGCGCAAATTCTTTCGGCCCGAACAGAGTTCCTGCTGTGATGAGGGCGATTGAAGTCCTTGGAATTGAGCAAGCGCGTTCTTGGAATTTGGGCTCACTGAACGAGTTCAGGAAGTACTTCGGCCTCGAGGAGCATCGGACTTTTGACAGCATTACAAAGGACAAATACGTCGCCGAGCAACTCAAGCATCTCTACGACACACCAGACAAGGTGGAGATTTATCCCGGTATTGTGGTCGAAGACGCCAAGATACCCCTCTGTCCTGGCTCAGGCCTGACACCATCTTACACCGTCTCTCGAGCAGTCTTATCCGACGCCGTCGCCCTCGTGCGAGGTGATCGGTTCTACACTATTGACTACAACCCGCGAAATCTCACCAACTGGGGTTACCACGAGGTAGATCCTGATGTTGGTGTTGACCATGGCTGCATGTTCTACAAGCTCTTCCTAAACGCCTTCCCGAAGCACTTCCAGCAGAACTCGATCTACGCTCACTATCCTCTTACCACACCTGACGCGATGAAAGTTGCACTCAAGGATCTCAAGAAAGACCACCTTTATAGTTGGGATAAGCCACAGTTTACTCCCGACCCTCACTTGATCCTCGAGTACAAGACCGCGACGGCTCTGATGGAAAATCAGGATGGGTTCAAGGTGACTTGGGGTAAAGCTATGGAGTTCCTCATGGGTCCTTCTGCCAAGGACTTTATGCTCGCAGGCGACGGGTCTAAGAACGCTGCCTCACGTAACATGATGTCCAAAGCACTTTATATCAGTGACTGGGACAGGGAAGTCAAGAAATGGTACACTAGCATGACGGCTAAGCTGCTTCAAGAGAAGGCAGCGAAGATTGCAGACTTTCACCAGGTGGACATCATCCGGGATGTTGGCAACCGAGCGCACATCCACTTCTGCTCGGAACTGTTTATGCTTCCCTTGAAGACTGAAGAGCGACCCCATGGCCTCTTCACAGAGAATGAGCTTTACCTCATCCTAGCCGGCGTCTTCGCCCTCGTCTTTTTCGACCTTGATGTCGCTGCTTCCTTCCCTCTGCACGTCAAATCATACGATGCCACACAAATGCTGGGCAAGGTCGTGGAAGAGAACGTGAAAGCCATTTCAAAGAGTGGCCTCCTATCTTCCGTCATGAACACTATCTGGCCGCAAGACTCAACTCTCAAGCACTACGGCATCCACATGATCAAGCGACTTCTGGACAGCGGCATGGATCCCAAGACACTAACATGGGGTCACATCCTCGGCACGGCAGGCGGTATGGTTCCAAATCAAGGCCAACTCTTCGGTCAGACAATCGAGTATTTCCTTACGGAAGGCAAAGAGCACTGGCCTGCTATCCAAGCTCTCGCGCAAAAAGATGACGACGAGAGTTTCGAAACCCTGATGCATTATCTCATGGAAGGCTCGAGGCTGAATGGCGAAACAGGTGTCTTTCGCTCCGCGGTCCAGAAAACAACAATCCAGGACGCGGGTCGCACCATCGAGGTCAATCCTAAGGACATTGTTTTCGTCGACCTTCGGGCTGCATCACATGACGCCACCGCCTTCCCCAACCCAGATAAAGTGGACCTCACGCGCCCACTTGACGCTTACATCCATCTTGGCCACGGCCCGCATCAGTGCTTGGGGCTGCCGATGACCAGAGTCGCGTTGACGGCTATGTTGAAGGAGGTTGCGAAGTTGCCTAATTTAAGGACGGCGAAGGGAACTCAGGGTAAGGTGCATAAGGTCACGAAGCCGTTGTTCCCTGGTGAGAAGTATCCGTACCATGTTTATTTGACGGAGAATTGGGATAGCTATTGGCCGTTCCCTTGTGGTAAGTTTCCTGTTATTTTCCCCACCCCTGTTTTCAGGTATAGAAAGCCTTTACTGACATTGTTGTAGCTCTTAAGGTGAACTGGGATTAGGACTTTGATACATGATGGTGCTTGGGTGTGAAATATGACATGCGAACGAAGATAATTCGCATACCCAGGCTGGGACCAGGTGGATAGAATTGAGCAAGGACCATTCCTTCATTTATTCGAAGACGCCGAGCAGCAGATATTTCTGCGAAGTTGTAGAAAAAGAAGCGAACATATACCTTCTGATGTAAGAAATTTAGAGGTTCTCTTCGAGGATGCTCAAACGACTCAGGTTTAATTAGCTAAGGCATGTGACGGTATACCAAAACGGGTTTCCCCGAACTTGCCACGTGCTCAAGCATAAGCTACAAGAGAAGCTACCATGGCAAGTTCAGGTATCCGTCAGAAACAGGCAAATTCCAACGCAACATGCTCATCATATAGTAATGTAAGAGTGTCTGGAGTCTGAATACCCACTGTGGCTCTTCGTCACCCCCATTGCCAATAAGCAGCCAATCACCTGCGCCTATCCCCAGGACCTGCAGGTCTCCCACTCTCTCAAAGCCGAGGCGCTCGAGTCGTGATGAGGGGCTGTAGCGCGTTCCTAAATTCTTATTTCCATTGCTCTCCAACGCCGCGCATAATGTTATCTTCGATTGCTTTCCCTTCCGTGTTCTTTTTTCTTGACGATTCGCAATGCAGGCTTTTGCTCGAGCCTCACTGCGTCGGGCTTACGACGCCAGATGCTGCTGCTTGAGATATGGTATCACGCCGCTGAGGAGAACCTGGAGAGCATATGCAAGTTTGTCGGTTGCGGGACACTCGGTTATTGATCACTATTATGAGTAAATCTTCTCCCTCCCTAAACTTTAATTAAAGATAGAATTAGGGAAGTAGTGGATTGTTGATATTGCCGCAGTGCAATTGTCGTCGGCGCTGGAGGAGCAGGTCTCCGTGCCGCTGTCGGATTGACTGAAGCCGGGCTCAAGACAGCATGTGTGTCTAAGCTGTTTCCAACGAGATCACATACGGTGGCTGCGCAGGGTGGGATTAATGCTGCACTGGGGAAGTAGGTAACCCTAATATTGTTACTGAACCTCAATCCTAGGACTTCTTCGAAATATAAGGGGAAATTGGAAAACGTGTGCGATATGAAAGCATGAGAGCCCGAGCTAACAGCACATTTCAGCATGACAGAAGACGACTGGCGTTGGCACATGTACGACACAGTCAAAGGCAGCGACTGGCTTGGTGACCAAGACGCCATCCACTACATGACCAAAGCTGCCATCCCCGCCATCGTCGAACTCGAGCACTATGGGATGCCCTTCTCACGCACTTCACAAGGCACAATATATCAGCGCGCTCTGGGCGGCCAATCCCTCGAATATGGCAAAGGAGGTCAGGCGTATAGAACCGCTTGTGCAGCTGATAGAACGGGTCATGCTATGTTGCACACCCTGTATGGACAGAGTCTGAAATCGGGTGTGAATTTCTTTATTGAGTATTTTGCGATGGATTTGATGATGGTAGATGGGAAGTGTGTTGGGATTACAACATTAAGTATGGAGGATGGCACACTGCATCGGATGTTCGCTAGGAACACGGTGTTAGCTACTGGAGGTGGGTGACAGAATTTCTCGTCTGGGATGGAAGGGGTTTGGACTGGACAGGCTGACGTTTTCTCCAGGCTACGGACGAGCTTATTTTAGTGCAACCTCTGCCCATACGAGTACGGGGGATGGGAATGCCATGGTTGCGAGAGCGGGGCTGCCATTGCAGGATATGGAGTTCGTGCAGTTTCATCCTTCAGGTATCTATGGTGCAGGTGTAAGTCTGTCAGTCTAGTCCCCACTAAAATACTTGCCAATTCTGAACCTCCTCTCATATCTCACTCACTCCTCCTAGGTCCTAATAACAGAAGGCGCCCGCGGCGAAGGCGGATACCTCCTCAACTCACACGGTGAGCGCTTCATGGAGCGCTACGCCCCCACGGCAAAAGACCTCGCCTCGCGAGACGTCGTCTCCCGCTCCATGAACCTAGAAATCCTCGAAGGACGTGGTGTCGGCGCTCAAGCCGATCACATCTACCTCCAACTTTCTCATCTTCCCAAAGAGGTAATCGAGGAGAGGTTACCCGGGATAGCGGAAACGGCGGCGATTTTCGCGGGCATTGATATCACACGCGAACCAATTCCCGTGCTGCCGACTGTGCATTACTGTATGGGCGGGATTCCGACAAATTGGAAAGGACAGGTGTTAGATGTTAGAGAAGGAGAAGATAGAGTTGTGGATGGGTTGTATGCAGCTGGAGAAGCGGCTTGTGTTAGTGTGCATGGTGCGAATCGACTAGGCGCGAACTCACTACTTGATATCGTGGTCTTCGTACGTCTTCGGTTCCCCCTATTCCTTCTCTCAATTCTTTCCCCTCCCAGAAAAATTAACCAAACCGAACTAAAAATATCCCCAGGGTCGGGCTTCTGCCCTCCACATATCTGAAAACCACTCCCCGTCTGCCCCTCACCACCCCTCGCCCTCAGACATCGGTCTATCCTCATTCACCTCCTTCGACTCGATCCGCCTTTCCGACGGCGCCACACCAACATCCCTCCTCCGCTCCGAAATGCAAAAGACCATGCAAACCTCTACTGCTGTCTTCCGCACCCACTCGTTTCTCTCCTCAGGCTACACCCACCTAAAAAGCATCCAAGACCGCTTCACCTCCGACCTCCGCGTTTGCGATAAATCGCTCATCTGGAACTCTGATCTGGTTGAAACGCTGGAAATGCGGAATCTGCTTACGAATGCCGTGCAAACGAGTCGTGCGGCGTTGGCAAGGACGGAGAGTAGGGGGAGTCATGCGAGGGATGATTTTAAGGAGAGGAATGATGTGGAGTGGATGGTACATAGTCTAACATGGCAGGGGGATGTGGGTGCGGAGGTGAGGTGGGGGACGAGGGGGGTGTATATGGGAACGTTGGATGAGGGGGAGTGTGAGAGTGTGCCTCCTGTGAAGAGAAGTTATTAGGGAGTAAGTGGGTAAAGTGTAAATGATTGATTGAAACCTTTCGAGTTTCTCTGGGCATTAAATAGACATCTTCAGGAATCTGTTAGCATTACTACGATTATTAGCCAAAGTAGTATCTCTACCTATACCAATGACAATCTAGGGCAAGAAGGAGAGTTACAACCAAAAAGTTGACTTCGAATGACTACCGATTTCTCTAGCGATGGGAATGACATAGTTCTCCCAGCTGAAGATGTCTACGCGTCTAAGTCCAGCCTTGTTCAATCCTTCCGGGTGCCTGCCACTCCCTTCCCCCCGTGAAACAAAATCCCACTCAATATCCAAAAACTATGTCAGAAATTACAGACAATACATCAAATAGATCTAATAAAGCGCTTCGCAAAAGACTGTGGGGGTACGTCGGCCATCTCGGCTTGTGCGACTTCGTAGGTTCTAATAGTGCGTACTCTATCTCGGAATATTTAGCCAACCTTGCTGCTACGGTACTACTATTAGCGCAAAACCAAAAAAGGAGTCACTTTAAAATAAACTAGCAGCTATAGCTCTTTATAACCCTGGAGGTACTCAGATCTATCATATGACTAGAATAGAGAAGAGTGTAAATAAGGTGCTTGTATCCGTCCTAAGAACATATCTTTATTCTCCATCGTGAGTGTATCAGCAGACATGCAGGGCAGATAAGCTATGGGGTTAGAAGTCTTCCCAAGCTTGTATGCAGGAATTGGTTCTCGGTAATAGTTAGCACGCTTAGATAAATTGGAAAGAAACGTAAGTTAGAAAACTACAATCGTGTAGATGTATAGGGTCAATTTCGATGTTCTATCCGCAGCTAAGATATCTATAATATTTTGCGTAAAATTAAAAGTCTTCTTGTAAAGCTCTAAGATTTGTCTTTCGGAACAGCGTTTCCAAGGAAAACTACAAGCACAGCACAGTAAGCTGCGGCTGCTGCGAATATCTCATGTCTTTTAGCCTTCGTGAAAAGAGAAAGGACCGATGAGAAAGCAAGAGTGAAGACAAGAAGCGTTCCAATACATTTCATGTAAGCTGTAGTGCCAATTTCATGCACCATATGATACAAAATATATATCGGAAGGACTAGAAGAGTTAATACTATAATTGTCAAGATTCCATTGGTGAGTTTCGCAATTCGAGAGGGTGTATAGTATATTTCGTACTTGTCTTCGTCTTTCGGTGGCCTAGCAGGCATGTTATCGGAATCAATTTCGGTTTTCTTTCGCGTTTCCTTTTTGATCAATCAATAACTGATCTGAACATAAGAATATTCATGTATACGTGCCTTGGAGCGAAACATAATGTCGATAAGCTTACAGTGACAGACCTTCAGGAGTCCTTCAACCACATCGTCAAGCCAAGCATGCTCACGTCCTGCCTTGAGGGTGAGTAAATCATCCTTGTGTTGAATCCATGAGGCTTCTTCTTCGACTAGAGCTTTTCTGTTATAGATATAACGTCCAACGCTTTGCCAGTCAGCGTCGGCCGGTTTACTGAATCCCCTCATTTGTTGGGCGGCGGCGAGAATTTTTGCTATTATAGTGAGCTCTAAGCTGGTTCATCAAATCTAGGTCCACTAACCATACGAGCAGTATGCGTTCTCAATTTCAAATAAGAGCTTTCCTTGTTTCTCTGCGTCTGAGGGAGGTCCCCGAAGGTCACGTGAGCACAACCGATTTTCGTTATCCTTCACGAGTCTCATGTCCATGCGATCTAGTCTCTTTTCGAGACGTCGAAGCTCCTCTTGCTTATGCAGGAGCAGTCGAGATTGGAGGTATCCAAACCGCCGATATATGGTAAAACCTTCATCGCTATCGAGGAACGCCGCTAGGTTTGGATATCCCTTAGGTGAGTCGTTTACTTTTCCATCATCATCAGTACGTGCTACAAAATAGACGCTAAGGGCAATTAACCCACATCTCCTGGTTATGACTGGAGTCCGATACCTTTTTCGTCGTGGAGTCCTCCTTGGGCGAAGGTTCCAGGACTTCCAGGACTTGGCCCACGGCCAACGCCGTCGCGAAATTGGAAGAACTGTGAGATATTAGTTAATAGGTCGCCGATTTCTTCAAAATCATACCAGAGGAGTTTTTGCTTGGAAGCTCATCCTTTGTGATGGTCTCATCTGTAAAGCTGTTGAAAAGTGTTGGGGATGTGGGGACTGAGCCAATCAACCCTGCTTCACCCTTTTCCATCACACTCTCCGCGTTTTGCATTGGCAACTCCTTCAACGAATTGTCCATGAATTCACATTTGCAATGGCGAGAGAAATAGTTTCTGTCGATGCTGTCGTCACCCTTTAAATAACAATCAAGCGTAGCCTTGTCTAATGGGGATGTTTGATTGGTGTCACCCGATCTCTTGCTGCACCCTTCGCGCTCAGCCGTGGCGGTCTCAATCATCGCCCTCATCGACTGAGAGCTCATTCTCTCTAAACAAAGTCGGTCGATCTAGCCACACTGCCCGTCCATTCTTGTCCTTCAGATGATAGCCCCAGCTAGCTCCAGACGACTGAACGCTACTGATCTTTGCTTGGACCCACCCATCGCCCTCTCTGTACACCCAAACAGCATCCCCAACCTGGTATTTCGCTGGCCAGTTCTGCAGTCGACCGGTCAGAGGTTTCAATAGACCCCCTCACGATACCAAAGGGACTCACCGGAATCGCGTTTGGATTGTCGCTAACATTTCCCGTTGGGGACCTCCAATCAGGCTGTTGAGTCTGCAGCTGCTTGAGAACTTCTTCGTCAGCCACAATATGAGGCGGGAATGGTGGACACTCGCTGACCGGATTGGACTGGGCGCTGCTGCTTGTGCTTGGCTGTTCATTCGACAGAAGCGCTCTGCCTTGTTTTTCAGGTGTCGAGGCAGACATTTTGACAAGTCACGGTCGATGCAAATAGAGTTTCAACCTGAGAAAATACCGGACTCGAATAAGGCTGCGACAAGAGAATCATATATGAGAAGGCCATGAGTTGTGCGGCTCCACCACAACGAAACGCAACAGTTCACAGCCGGTGGTTCAGAGACGAATGTGGAGCTGAGACTGGATAAGAAAGAAGGCTGCGAGGAGGCGGAGAGCTTCATATGAATCGATAATGTTCGCAGAATCTTATTGGCCAGCCTTGCATACCAGGCTCACACACGAGGTTCACAGGCTCACAGGCTCACATCCTGTATCACGCGAGGCATTCAAGGCAATCTTTTGTTTTTGGAACTCAGCCTCGATTCGTTTGCCTATATCTATTTCGATTCCCAATGAGCTGTCTCAAGGTTCTTATCCCAGATTTCGTTCTGCAGCATGTCAATGGGTCCAGTTTTGCAGCCTCACGGGGCAACACCCACAAGTCCTTCACAGTCCGACATGTTACCACTAGAAACCAAGATGGCGACCGGTGCCAACCTAGCAACTCACCTTGAAGTTCAAAGTGATGCCCGAACGCCTATTTCCCCTACTCAAACCCCCCTTACTCCAGATTCAATGCGCGCCCAAAGAGATCTCCAGTTACTTCGGACGATATGGGATAAAAATATGCAGAACAAGCCCGTGAAGCATGATAGAGTGTGCGTTCTTTTGTTATCCTGGCGGGAAGAGCTCGATGACCTCAAAGTGAAACCAGAGGTGACGAACCATGTGACCTTGGAGTGGTATTCTAGACTAATAGCAATAGGTTGATCAATTACAGGCAGTTTTCACCGATCTCTATGGGTTCAAGGTTACGCGGGAAGTATTGGATAATGAGCTGCCCAAACATCAACTCAATTGCTATCTATCTACCTTCATGTATAAAAATGATGGTAAAGACACATTGTTAATCGTCTATTATGCTGGCCATGGTAGCTATCGTCAGAACAGCGTTCATATGCACGCGTACGACCCCCCCTTTGCACCTTTTCTATCATATTTCGTCTGACAAAGCATAGCACAACAGGTCTGCAGACAGAGAACGAGGAGCAACGCAATTGTATCGCCTGGTCTGGTGCGGAGAGTAATCTTACTAGTTCCCAAGCAGATGTGCTTGTCATTTTCGACTGCTGCGAGGCTGGTGGAATTGGGGGACACAAAGTCCGGTCCTATTCCAAGCCAAATTTCGAATTCATTGCTGCCTGTGGGATGAGGGAAAAGGCTGCTCGGCCTGGGGAAAAGTCTTTCACCAGTGCACTGATGTGGGCATTGAGAGAATTAATATGCGAATATCCATTCACGTCGATCACTCTGGTCGATAAGATCAAGAAATATCCACATCGCGACCCGAGACAAAACCCAGAGCTCCTCCGGCGAGATGAGGTTGCGGACGGAATAGTCTGGATTGCGCCGATTAAAGCCGGTGAACCACAGCCAGAATCAATTGCGCGGAGCGAGCATCGCGATCCACGTCACGAATACATCGACCTACGACTTAACTTCTATCGGCCTGTTAAGGCCGAGGATGTTAAGGAAATGGCAAGAACTCTCAGTCGGCTTGTCAACAACGAGCCAACATTTGAAGCGAAACACATTGCTTTACTGGATGTATCGTCAACGTTCTCGAAGGCTGTTTCAATCTTTAGAAATAGCACCGCGACAGGGAAGCGTAAGAGGTCTTTGTCGACACGTCATAACGGGTCTACATCAACAACAGTAATATATTCTGGCGAGGCCCGGCGTGGACTCCTAGAGTCTACTCTCGTTGAAGCACCGACGTATACTCTTCCGCTGGCGAAACGCCCACGATGTGAGGAGTTGCAACCCGAATTAGTTGTTGAGCAGCAAGGGGCTCTCTATCATTTTCGCATGTTCCTCAATTGTTCTCTGCAAAGCGTGGGATCCCAAATTGGGCGTGTAGCTGATCGAGTAGGTTCTTCCACATCTTTTTAACTTGAATCAACTCCGGTATTTCTAGGTTCGCTAACGGAAATTTAGGTCCGGCCGCCTCTAAGAAACAGAGATGTACCAGAGCCGATTCACCATAGTGCTTGATATTATTATGGAGTACGGCAACCCCAAGTGTCCTATGACGTTGTGCAATCCTTTTTCATACATCAATAGAGTTTCGTGGGCGATCTCTTTGCACTGAAACGCAACCCTGTATTAACTTCTCATCAGAGAATTGACTTCATCTGCATGTCTTCCTTCCCAATATCTTAAGAGGAGGAAAGTTTATGGATGTACCGAACATTGCCTTCTTGTACTTGTAATAGAACTGGTCAAGTATGTTAAATGATTTGGGGGGTTTTTCTTGGGGGGGAAGGGTTGTCCAACTGTTCGAGTTGCCCCAAACATACAAGCTGTACTACAAAATAGTTCATAACTCCGAACCTTACATATTCCTGTACACACGTTAAAGTGGACATGAATTGCTGTCCATTTTATCTTGAATTGTAGAATGAAGAATACTGAAAGCTTCCGTTTCAACTCAGGCCATCATCAACCTGCCGCAATATCCTACAATGTTCGCCTCTATCCTTCAAGGTAACCTTCCCTAGCATCCTTGGTACTAGTATCGCCTTGACTATGTGCTTAGACACACTGAACCCCTTCTTCGTTCTCCCCATTGCTCCCAGCCTACTGCTTCCAGAATGCCCACACCCTTACATCCCTGGCGCTTGCGTCTTCCCCAAATTCAATTTCCCACTCAACCAAAACCAGAGTGCAGGTAACGTGCCGACGATACTAGAAACAGCGCATCCCATATCACTCTACATACTTAAAAACATAAGACTGTGGCGATTGAGGCAGCGTCATTCCCAGCACATGAGTTTACTTTGGAGATTTGAGCTAGCCATGCGAATACGAAGGCGATAATGGCTCCATCGGGGGATAAAACGATTCCGAGGCCTAGTTTCTGGAAGGGGGAGGATCGCTACTACTGGAGCGAAATGGTTAGTGCTGGGGTTGGGGGAGGAGAGGGTAGGGTAGCCTTACTGATAGCGTCTGCAACGATGTCAGCTGTGGTTCCGAATTTTATCGAGATGTCAGCGCGGACGAGATTTCCCGGGTCGCTGCAGTCGGCTGTACTTTGGCTGGTAAAGGGGTTGGTAACGTCTCTAGGAGAGCTGATCTGCTTACCTGAACTCATGTATTTGGTTAATGGGACGCAAGTCAGTAGATTGGAAATCATGTAGGCTAAATGCAAAATCATGACGAAGCTGAAGCAGATCCGCTAGCCAATGAGGTACGTTGGCAGGCTTGTGAGCAGGCGGCGGAAGAAGAATGGAAGTGACAGTTTGGTGTCCCAGAGAGTAGTCTAGAAGAGTAACACCTGGCTAATATACTCGATAGTATCATGTGAAATTGCTGATGAGAAGTCAGGATGCAGAACCTGAACATCAACTTCAACGATGTTTACGTTGCAACGAAGTCGTGATGTGAAGGTGGCATCTGCGTCAGGAGGTTCATCCGCACTTGGGTGTACTATGCAATGATATAGAAATGTGGAAGGAATCTGGTGACAACGACTGATAGCCGGGTCAACGTGAAGGGTCCGAGAAAGACGAAGTAGTTGTGCGCAAAGAGCGGACGCTGAGAGCACCAGTGAATACTTCCTCGGAATGCTGTTGGGGCGGAGGCGACGCTACATGGAGTCTAGACTAGGACCTATATTTCAATTAATGAGGATAGGGTTAAGACGTAGATTTATATTCTTATTGTTATCTCTGTGTAGTTTAAACTTTACTGGTGGACTTTGAGCGACGCTGCATCTTGTTGGGAGCGTCTCATATCATCAAAGGCCTTGACCACCCAAAACACTATTTATTACAAATCATATGTAGAGGGATATCTGACAAAACAAAACAGGCTATAGATGTCGCCTAAGGCCGTATGCAGAGATATGGTAACCCTCTGTAAGGTATCGTGTTGCCCCTGTACACGGAAAAGGAAATAAAATTTAAAGCTATAGCGCTACATTCGTAGGCTCTAGCAGTAGGGAGAAGGGAGGAGAGAATTCGATGTCGTAGGGTAGACGACATAGATATAGAGACAACTCACCTACGCATAGGAAATAATAGCCAGGTTTTGTGAATCACCTCCCATATTGCTAAAGAAGAGAGGAGGCAGCCGGCGCCGGAAAAGTACCAATTCTGTCCAGAGTTCAACGGTTTGTGATAATTATAGTCGCTAGCCCTAGGAAGGCAACGCTAATAGTAGATGCATCAGCCCACCTTGCACTTGCTCGATGCTGATCGATGAGATTTGAAGCAAGGCTGGCGAAGAGGGCCCCACCAGATTGGCGAGGTCCCGAAATCTAGAACTGTCGTACTCGCATCAAAAGACCTCGGGCCGAGATCCTGAGCAGTTCACCACGTGCTTGTAGAAATATTATGCCTTGTAGATGAACTGTTTTAGCATAACTTTACTGCGAACTAGGGGATGAAAAGGAAATACCCCGCGCTTCAGATGCCGCCAATGCGAAGGCGCACTATTCCCTGCGAACTTCAAGGAGGAAATGACGAGCAAAAGTTTCTAGACCGTGGATTAAGTTTCACTCAACAGTATCTAGTGCGTGATTTTCCATCCTTGCAGATGTAATGAAGATGGTGGGATGCGGCGCGGTTGATAGGTGGGTGGGTGACATGAATCCTGAGGACAGAGGACATATTTTCCAGGAATCGGGGCAACGAGGCAAAAAGCGGCAGGGTATGACTTGAAGTGAAGTGAAGCCCTTCGACCCTGCATGTGTGGAGACTCGAAAGTCAAACTGATCACACAGGGAGAGTTGGTGTTGGCGTTGTGTTGGGTCCAGCATCGGTCCCATCGGTCCCGCGAACCAGGGTCCCAAGTGCTTTCCCAACCAGACCCTTGGAAACAGGGAAGCCGGGACGCGGAACCTCTTCCGCACGGCAACCCTTTCTTCCCCGAGCCCACCGTTCAGCGTCGAGAGTTAAAGAACCCCAATTGAATGATGCTACTGCTAAATCCATTTGGCATGATATAAGCTCGTAACTAGCCTAAACCTCAAATCCTCCCTATGAAAATACAAGAGTCAGCACAACCACGCCAAACAGAATTCGGCCATGGCGGGTGTCACATTTCCCTCCCACTCTAACGGAGGTTGGGATACGCCTCGTTCGTCCAAATAGAACCTAGAGGGCTGGGGCGAGTATTTCCCCTTACCTCAATCACACGCCACATTTCAGTTGTCACCCCGCCGCTGTCAGCACTCAAAGCAGAAGGAATAGAAGGTGTGGAAAGTTGGCACCACGTGTTACTGGACCAAACCGGAAGAGTCTTAAAATTAAACCTACGAAAACACAACATGCTGATGAATTAATCCAATACTACTTTCGGGTAATCGCTGTACTTCTTCTCAGCGATTCATACTTCAATTTGTCGTGCCTCATGGGAAAGACTCATCAGATCGGGCGGACCCCTGCATCTCGTTCATGATGAGATGTTAGTGAACAGGGACAAGACCAGCTTACCGGTAAATAAGCTGCAGAAATAGGGAAACATTACACCGTGCATCTTCGAGCTAGGCTTTATTGAATTGCACTAACTCACAACAAATGCGCTTTAAAGCTAGGTCTTCGTCCGCCCATGATGATCGCGACAACCCCCCGCTGGTTTATGTACACCTCCTAATCATCTAAGTTGCGCAATGTCGACTCTATCAACCCTCGCAGCATTGCTGCTCGTTGTTCAAACGGCTTTCACTGCGCCGACTGAGACGTCTGTATCCAGCGTATTCGGATCTGAGAAAGTAGCTTGTTCGATTTTCAAGCAGAAGTATCCAGATCATACTTTCTACCCCAACACGGCAGGATATACATACGAAACGCAGTCACGTAAGCCATAAACTTCAACCTCCCACATATTGTCCCTACATCCAGTCTAGCACTTACGTATAATACATAGAATACTGGTCCGCCCGCCAATTCTCCCTCCCAGCCTGCGTCTTCGTTCCTTCATCCGCAACCCAAGTCTCATTCGCAATAACAACCCTAACCCTCACATTGTCCAAATTCGCAATCCGGGGTGGCGGCCACATGCCCGTTCCTGGCTACAACAACATCGATTCTAACGGCATTCTCCTCTCGACTTCCAATCTTAGCACCTTGGCACTTTCTAAAGACCAGGCTACCGTTTCCATAGGCCCTGGAAATCGCTGGCGCAACGTCTATGCGTATCTCCAGCCATATGGGCTCGCCGTTGCTGGGGGGAGAGTTGGGAGTGTAGGGGTTCCGGGGCTTTTATTAGGTGGAGGGATTTCCTTTTATTCGAATCAATATGGGTTTGCGTCAAATAACGTTGTTAAATATGAGGTATATCTCCCCGCCGCCGAGTTAGAAACTTCTACTCTATACCCCCATCTGTTTTATAAGCTGAACTTCACAGTGCGTACTAGCTAGTGGCATCATTATCGAAGCAACCGCCAGAAACGCCTATTCCGACCTTTTCTGGGCGCTGAAAGGCGGCGGAAACTCCTTCTGTATTGTCACACGCTTCGACCTCAAGGCCTTCAAATCGCCGAAAGTATGGGTGGGAATGGCACAATACGATCAATCCCAGAGTGCCAACTATCTTGACGCGGTATACACTTTCGGTAAATACGGCGCGCTGGATTCAAAAGCCGCGATTATCCCAACTGTCGTAATGCTTCCTGGAATAAATACGACAATATACGTCACGGCGAAGTTCTATGATTCTGAAACGAGCAGTCCGACGGTTTTTGAGAACTTTACTGCGCCGAACTTAGTTTCGTTTTCGGACTCATTCGCGCTACAGCCGTTGAGCACGTACATTGATTCGACCGATGTTCTCCAACCGCTTGGCCTTCGTCAGGAATTTCGCGTTATGTCAAGCATTGTGAGTCGTGACGCCATTGGGCTCATTCACGACACCTATACTTCTGCGGTATCCGCAAAACTGTCTGGTGTTGCGAATCTCACCACAACGATTACCTTTCAGCCTATCACGAAAGAGTTCATCCAGCAAGGGATAAACGCGGGCGGAAACCCTCAGGGTGTTGATATTTCCAAAGCGCCGTATTTCTGGATGGACGAGAGTTGGAGTTGGACGCGAGAAGAGGATGATGAGACCATTCTTAATTTTGCGGACTCAGTGACGGCGGATATTAATAAGCAATTACAGGCCAAGGGACTGGCCGGGACATACCTCTATATGAATGATGCTGGGAAGGGACAACCTATTTTCCAGAGCTATCCTGCAAAGAACTTGGAGAGGCTAAAAGAGGTCCGGGAAAAGTACGATCCATCGAGGATATATACGAACTTGACGCCTGGAGGGTGGAAGGTATTGCAGGCATGAGCGGGACATTTGTGGTGGGAAGCTATTCAAATGTATCAATTAAGAGTTTAGCATCCTTCGCAGACGAATGCTTTATCCTAATTCCTAATATCAGCTTCTAGGATGCTTAAAATTCTGGCTCAGGCAGAAGTCTGCATCCTCTTGGCACATTTCATAACCCCAGCACTAGGTGTAATGCCCCGCACACTGGAAAGCCATTGTGCCTAGACACTGGTTGCTAAAATCCGAAATATTGCTAACAGAAAACTCTCTACTAGCAGTTGCAGTGCCGCCTGTTGCTCCCCGAAATTCACCAGAGGTTTAATGAAAGTAGGAGGGGAACTCTTGACATTAGTCGATGAGGAAATCCAAACCCGCTCTCTCGGCGTATGAGACACAGCATCTAAGGCACGCATCGCGCCTCAAAATCCCTCGCAAGTGCCCTTGACTACTCATGAGACAAGCGATCTGTCCAAGTTCGTTTCTGTGTGCACGGTACAACTTTAAATCCCGGTATCCTGATACAAAAACACCTGGTGGAGAAGCTGTGTGATGGGAACCCGGAACCAACTCTTCGACCACTTCGCCTTCAACAAGGCGTCCAACAAATCCTTCGTCGTGGGAGCAGTCAATTGTTCTATCACCGTAGAGTATGGACCAGGACTCTTTGGCAATGTTAGATACGGACGTCTCAATTTGAATTCCGGAATTTCCACACTCGAGAGTAAGGCCAAGTTCTAACGAGCCTTGCACTTCGTCAACAGACCACCGGGTATCTACGTGCCCTGTCATGTCCCTAGATCTCAATATGCAAGGTCCGCTCAGGTTACTAGATGCAGCGTTGCCAATTACAGTCGTGGAATTTTTCGAACTGCGAATTAGCTCTGCGCGGTAACCCTGGAACTGGAGGTGCCCAGCTTCAACGACAACTGTCTCACATGCCTCAGGGCTGAGATCTAGCTGAAGTAGAAGATTGCGGTAGATGAGAAAGCCATCCACAACAAAGGCATCAACATTATCCAGAGACTTGGGGCCTGATCCCCTGACCCAATAATACCAACTACCTAGGATATCAGACTGTGCCAGAGGTTTCGGCTTTCTCATGCATCGAAGGGTTCGTCCGATAGCCGAGTTCTGCGGACGGCTTGAAGAACGAACTCGAATGGTGGTCTTGGACGTCTCGTTGAAGCAAAGGAAGGATATTAAAACCAAATATGTTGTGAGAGTGTGGGTGAGCGAAGCATAATCCTCTCGAGAGAGAGGCTTATTCTCTCTCAGCCTTCGCTGGGACTGTTCATTCTTGCTCAACCCCTCAAAGTCTGCAATGTTTGCCATGGTAGTTTTCGAATATCTGAGGCCTCTCCAAGTCGCTTCGGTAGGCTGGAGATCAGTAAGTCTCGATGCCTCGTCCATCATCTTAACAGACGCAAGCTCCGAGCACCCCCACCAGAGTGCTACAGCCTTGGGGGTAAGACGGCGTTTTATTTCTCCACATGCCTTAGATTCGGATGTTTCTTTAGTGGATGCGGTGGATGAGTCGCTTTCGTAATCCAACGAGCCGGTTGGGTTGGAGTGGTCGTGGACTTCGCGTTTCCAGGTCGTTAAAATCGAGGAGGCAACGCAGACGACAAGGATCGCAATGTCGTTTGCTTCCCTTTCACCTAGAGCCTGCCCTATTGTTGCAATTTTTCCAATTCCATGAATATCGATTCTGTTAGCTCGCGGCTTTCCAGTTTCATCCAAAACTAGCAGGTCTTGGATATCGTTAAGCGTCTGTCCAAATTTGACCCTAGTTGTCTTCTGGCCGAGAGACTTCTCCAGCCGGACCTGCCAGGCGTCTGAAGAAGCGTTCCCAAATACCAATTCTCCATTTACTGTCACACAGACACGGAGCCCGCATACTGTGTGCGCGAGAAGGAACGGAAGTGATATACTTCCACCGGTGTGGAGAGTGCAACGAAAGTCAGGGAAATTTGTGACTGCACACAGAGCCTGAAAATAGGCAGCCATGCACTGATTCGGGATTTCAAAAGAATCCGAGGATACCGGACCCTGATCTCTCGTCCAAATAGGTGAGTTCTCAAGGACTGCAACCTGGGCTGCCATAATCTCCTCCTGCCAGCTGATGCAGCTCGTTTGGCTCTCTATAGTTGTTACCACGTTCTTAATCTGTGTCTTGCGTGGCTTAATTTGAACCAGATTATTGGGGCTCGAATCAATAACGAGCCGCACAATCTCAGAAACATCTCGAGCATCCATGCATTCGAGGAGAAGCGAAAGGACCATGACGGCGGCCTCCCCTGCACGGGTCTTTGCCATGAAATTGCTCGTCGACGATTGGCCGGTAACAACCTCGATACCGGTCTCACAAAATTCCCATGTCGTGGAACCTCGGGTCCACTTGCCGTTGAATTGGTCGATAGCCTCGTCCACCGGTCTTAGAAGACCGAGAGACTGCACGATGGCAATCACGCCTATTGGTTCAGCATTATCATTGTAAAGTTGTTGGTACACCTTGAGGCTAAGAGATGGTCCAAAATCAATAAGTTTGAAGGCATTGAAGGGAACTTGGGTGACGCTGGAATTGCTCATGACGTGTCCGCTGATAAAAAAGCAAAAAAAGCGGGTTTGTTTCTCCTGATTGCGACAGTGGTTGTTCGGCGTCGTGAGAGACTACTACTGAAGTTTTAGGTGGGTGAAATTGCGCTTTAGCAGGAGAATGGTGAAGATAATTGTATGAGCGAAGACTGATGGAGCGGTAGGTGCGAATGGAAGAGGTGGTGGCTACCCGTGGGGGCTCGCCAATTTAGCAGCCTTGTGGGCCAAACGCACCTTCCATTTCAAATAACCTGCCTTGGTCCAATCAGCTCAGACTCCACCCTGCACAATTTTACAGCTGTAGCAGAACATGGCACGTGATGCCAGGTAAGAAGCCAATCCCATCAATGCAATGATTGCTATTGTAATTTTATAATATGCGGCCATACTATTGTTATCTAAGCCTTCTAAGAACTCTTTGTGGACTTCTCCTTCGCGGTATTCTCCTTTACGGTATCCTCCACCACGGGCGTTACGACCACTGGTTGGGCCAGAGGGACATGCGGGTCTCCAACCCCACGGAGGAAGGACGGACCGAGGCTAGCGAGGGCACGGCCCGCAAAAGTCACATCACATGATGCTCCAGATCAGGTATAGTGTAACAAAAAGGCTAGAACTAATGTGTACATAGACTTGGCAGTAGTCGCAAGTCTTGGCAAGTGGTCGCAGTGGTCGCAGAATATTTCTGCGACCACTCCTAGGTATATAGTCTTAACCTCTCTTTATCTTTTAAGAGGTTGTAGTTATTCTTATCTTTAAGGCATAACCTTAGGTATAGCAATATATCTAGTATTCTTTTTAATATAAAGTATATAAAAGACTTTTTGTAATTTATAAAAAAACTAAAGCTAATTTGTTATTTTACTATTTCTACTTTACTTTTTTTTACTAACCTTCTCTCTTACTTCACTTTCTGCTAGATTATACAAAGGACTGTACACTTTTTGTTGCGTTGCTAAAAGGTCAACCTTCTAGCTAGCTGTTACAACCACTAGTTAGGCTAGAGGAACATGCGGGTCTCCAACCCCACAGTGTAACGATTCTCACGAATCGTTCCATCTTGGGTCGCTCAGAACCTATCCGAAGGGTCCTTGTATCGGCCCCGACTATGACTTGACCCTGTCCCCTGCAGTTACCTCTATTCCCCTAAGTATTTAGTCGCACCTCTCCTCTTAGCTAGCTTAGTAGTTTTCTAATATCCTTTGTATAAGGCCTATAGGTGTTAATAGAATTCCCAGGTTATTAAGTCCCCACGCACTTCTATATGCCTCTAAGTGGATTCCTACTGTATTTAGACCTATTGTCTTGCCTGTGCTGTTACACACAAAGGAAGAACAGACTAAGGTGTAACAGCGCAGGCAAGACAATGGGTCCGAATGCGGTGGGAATCCACTCAGAGGCATATGGGAGTGCGTGGGGACTCTGAACCTGGGAATGCCATTGACACCTATAGGCCTTGTACAAAAGGATATTAGAAAACTACTAAGCTAGCTATAAGGGCAAGGTGCGACTAAATACATAAGAGAATAAGAGTAACAGTAGGGGTTAGAGCTAGGTTAAGGTTAGGGCTAATACAAGGGCCTTCTAAAGGTTCTAGGCAACTTAAGATAAAACAATTTATAAGAATTGTTACACTACCCCCCCCTCTATAGACAAATAGTCCTTATTAGTAGTAATTATAGTACAAAGTATTACTATTATGTCTTCTACCTTAAACTAAAATTAGTCTAATTTAGCTAGGTGTCCTTACTAAGTATTCCTTCGCACTGCTAGCAGTGTCCTCCACACCTAACGCTATGCGCGCCTGTTCTAATAGTAATCTATATAGATGTCTAGCCTAGTAATTATTAAGACCTTTGTTTATTACTATCTATGTAGTTATTAATCTTAGGCGTGCGTTTAGTGTAGTAGCATTTAAGTGTTATTAAAAGTGCCTTGAGGGTCTCTTGCTATTAGAGTAGTAAGAGTAATTTAAGGCGTTATTAGGGGTAATTTAGTAGTAGCCTAGCAGTGTTTTAGTAGATTAGCTGCTTAAGCTGTGCTTATAGTTAGGTATAAATATACTGCTAGAGGTTAACTCTAAATGTCACGGTATCCTCCTCGGATCCCAGACATAACTGTATTAGACGCGTACTAGAGTATTATTAGTGCATGTCTAACATAAACACAACACAACACAGACATAAACTTAAGCATAAACTACCTTAACACTAACTAAACCTAGAACAGGCTTAATTTATACCTAAAGCGCTTAGACTTCTAAGCTAAGTATTTAATTACTAATTTTCTTTTAAACTTTTTTATTCCTTACATAACATCTTATACTTACTATAATACCTTACATAGTAATTAAACTAGACCTCTATAAAGCTCTATAACCTTACTTGTGCATAATTATAACATTATGTTATATTAAAACTTTAGCTAAGAATAGCCTTTAAATCTAATTTAATAAGCTTAGTACTTGCATAACTTTAAGCTATTAAAGTAAGCTAAAAAGCCTTTTAAAAAGCGCTTACTTTATAAAAAAGCTACTATGTTACAAGCTTTAAAGCTTTTTAAAAGAACTTTAAAGAACAGCTTTATATTATTAAGTAGTCTATTTTTACCTTAACTTTTATTATAGTAGTAAGAACTAAGAACTTACTAGCCTTAAAGCTTACTTAGAAGTCTAGAGATAGCTTAACTCTTTTCTACCTAACACTACTTATAACCTATAACTTTTTTAACTTAGTAATAAAATCTAACTAACTCTCTAATCCTCTGCTGTTTAATAGAAAATAAAAAGACCTACCTTTCTTCCTATATAAGCTCTAATATAAACTTAAAAGAAACATAGACTAATTCCTTTCTAAACACTTTTAGTTACTATACACTTACTTTTAACTTAACTATAATATAACAGCCTTAATTAACTTACTAATAAATAAAAATATTATTAACTTAGATTAATTTATAGTGTTTTTATAAGTAACTTATAAAGACTTAAATAAAAAGTTAATAGCCTTAAGTTGCCTAAACACTTTATAATAAAAAAAAAAAAGCTTTACTTTATACTTTACTAAGTTTTGCTAACTTGTATTTAATATAAGCCTAAATAAGATAAGTTTAATTATAGCCTTATATAACTTCCTCTTAACTAAACTATAACATGCTATAGTAGGAGAACCCCTTCTAAACAACCTTAATATATATGTAAACCTAATTACTACCTATAATAATAACATAAAGTTCTTCTTTATATAAGCTCTAATACGCCTCTAAACTAACGCAGTTGCAAATAAAAACTTTAATATAATAAAAATTAATTTAAATTATGCTTTAGTTAGTTCTAAAAAGTGTAAAAATTATAAAAAAAAAAGTTAATACTTTAAGTGTAGTAAGCATAGTTATATTTTTTAAAACTGCTTTATTTTTCTTTCTTAAGTCTATATAAGTAGCGCTGCTAGCACTTATTAAAAATTTTTACTATTTTAATTTTATTTTTATAAGGGCTTTAACTTATATTTAAGCTCTAATCTTTTTTGCTACTCTTAATGTAGCTGCAGCTATAGCAGTAGAAGCCTGTAAAAAGGCTTGTTCTAGGGCTAAGTTGCCCTCTAGGACTAATTTAACACTAGATCTTTGCTAACTTATAGGCTAAGTCCTCTACTAATAACTAAAAGTACTAAGTTAATATTTTTATATATTTATAATAAAAAACTATATTAGCTTTAATATAAGCTCTTATTAACTTAAAAGTAAATAGCATAGGTTACATTAATAAAAAACTAGCGTGTAAACTAAATCTTTAATTAACACTACTTACCTAAATAATTTACCTAACTAAATTTAATAAAAAATAACTTAAAAAAGGTTTTATTTTTTATACTATAACTATTATAATTACTTACTAACACTATAAGAAGTAGATTAAGCTCTATGTAATAAACATAGGATGTTATAACCTAATTCTAGAACAACTATAGCTATATTAGCACAAGGTTGCCTTTAATTACTAAAAGTAAGTTCTAAACTTTAACTTTTTCTAATGCTAAAATATATGCTTACACTTACACCTAAATAACACTTAAGTAGCACTTAATATAGAAGGTTTCTAGACCTACTTTTTAATAACTTAAAAAAAAACTACTTAAGTAAGGCTAATAAGCTAAGCCTTTTACTAAAATAGGCTATATAAAATAATTTAATAACTACTTAAACTTAAAAAAAAGAAAGCCTTTAAGAAATTTTTACTTACTTAATATAAACATAAACTAGGACTTAAGCAGCAGATAGACATCTGCTATATAGAACCTGCCCTATTTATAACCCTAGCTTAATAACTAGATTACAAAATCTACGTAGTTATAATTTCTAATATAGACTAAGCTTTAGCTCTCTAAAAACATACTAACTTAAAAATAATAGTCTCTTAAAACTACTATAACTTATTACATGTTTTTTTCTAAAATAAGTCTAATAAGCTTTTAATATAACATCTATATAATTACTAAATAACTTTTAAGCCTAGTAAATAACCTAGTTATAGGCTACTATATAAGATGTTACTAAATAAATTAAAAGTGCTTTAAAAATACCTTAATAAGAACTTAAAAAAAGAGTTTATTTAAGCTAGCTTCTTACTAGTAGTGTTACTTATACTATTTATAAAGAAACCTAAAGGTAGGCTTTAATTCTGCATTAACTACTAAGAACTAAACACTATTACTATTAAAAACTAATACTTAATTTTTTTTTTATAAAAAACTTTAAGCTAACTAAGTAAAGTAAAGTATTTTATAAAGTTAGATATTATTACTGCCTTTAATAAGCTAAAAATAGTAAAGGGTAATAAGTAGCTAATAGTGTTTTAGACCTAATATAGACTATTTAAGTACCTAGTAATGCCCTTTAGCTTAGCTAACACGCCTAGTACTTTTTAACATTTTATAAACAACTTACTTTAACCCTACCTAGACATGTTCTGCACTATGTATATTAACAACATTCTA